CGCCACAGAAACCGAGTCAATCGATCGCTAAAAATCCATCGCATTATTCCGGCCGTGTCTATACCTCTTTTGATACAAAGCAACAACCAATGCGCTCACACCAGCAACTGGAAAATGGTACTAATTCATATCGGCATAAAAACGTGCTCACTCGCCAAAACTAAATCTCATAAGCTCTTGTGGCCAAGGAGATTCAGCTACAATAATACGTGCACTGGGACGGCGCGCGCGCGCAGTCTGATCTGACCACTACTGTGCATTTCCCACGGGTGCGGATTGTGCTGTCTCTTTCTGTCCGTATAGCTCCATCTCTTTCCACCCTGATGGACTGCCGCTCTTTCGTTAAACGAAGCACACCCACACACGGTGTCGGTATTTCAGATTATTCCGAGGTAGACCGACATAGATTAGCTACGTCAGTTCACAGGTTAGCTAGAACATTCTGTTACGTTTAATACCAAGTGCCTATAGAGCTGTCAAAATGTTGTGTGAAGAGAATTGAAATTAAAGAAAGACGTTTATCAAAGAACTTCTCGGAAATATTTAACGGGCTTTCTTAACTTAATAATTTAAAGGCTTTTCTAAGGTTTTCAAGCTTTTCTAGGTATATTTATAGTTTTTTTTGCTAAACAGATAGCTTGGAATGTAATAATATTATCCTAATATTGGTAATTAAGGTTTTATTATATACATAGGTATAATTATAAAAATAAATGTCTAGTAGGTATTTTATGTTTGGATATAAGATCATTTCTAATATCATTTCGATCCCAATAAAAAACCTAAGCAAAAAACTAAGTGGAATTGTAACTAAGTATATATTTACATCTTTATAATGGTTCCAAAGACTAATTCTGGACGCGTGCATGTCTTGTCAAACAGTGCCAAAGGCGGTAACTATTCGCCCAATTAGGGCTAAATATTTCGTATAACACCGATTAGTCCCAGGATTAAATTCTGACTATAATAGCTGTTATTTTTGCATCTTTTTTTTATAAACAAAATTGTAAGGAATTTCAAATTAGTCCTTTTGAATTCACGCTTACTTAATGATGGCTTAATATCTACCTCACTAAATTTTTCAACATATAAATTATGTTCAGATATTTTCTTTCCTATTTTCGTAAATTAAAAGACATATTTCAAAGAGTCATCATCTTAGGTTAAAAAAATTAATTTAATCTTTTCCATTTAAATGTCGAAAATGCGACGATGGTAAGCATTTCTTTTAGAAATATTACAAAGTGACAAAATATGTGAAGAAAACAATTTTTCTTTCTTTTAATTGTTCCCAAACAAGAAACCTGTGCAAATAGGTACCTAATATACCTAATGGTGAAGTTTAATCATTCCGTTTAGTACCTAATAACTTGACAATAACTTTAATGATTAAACAATAAATTGCTGCAAGTATTTTGAAAAACAATCATATACCTACATATAGAATAAGCATGCATATAAATATAGTTTTATGGAATACATAATGATTAGGCTAAATGTATATTATACCTACTATAAAATTTTATTGCTACACTTGACACATTCCTTAAGAATTCCAATTATTGGGTAAACTCCCTTAAATGTTACGCTTATCTAATCATTTCGCATGATATAGATAATTTAATATATAAATTATTTGTTGAAAAACAACGCGTAGATACATCTAAAACATTAAATATCTTTAAAATATAAAATTTTGCAAATAATATAGAAAAAATGGTTAGAAATTAAATTTATTATTTTATGTTGTGGTGCTAAGCACATTCACTGATTACATCCATAGATAATAAATCATTACACTACTATCAAAGGAGTGGAGCGTTGATGGAAAATATTACTCTGTCGGAAAATGAAAGAACTGCTAAAATCGTAAGTCGGAGGTAGAAAGTCTTATTACATATACATATTAAACCAACATCGAAGTTAAACCTAATAATATCCAACATTCTACATTTTATTTACATAAATAAGCCAATATTTCCAGAATTTCCCCTTTTTTATACGCTCCCTCGAAGCCACGAAAAAGTTCAATCACTTTTTTATGTTAGAAATATTATTTTTTTATAGACAAACAAATTTAACGGTTATCTCTTTATACAGCCAGTTAATGATGGTTATCGCTTTCTAAAGTTTAACGGCTATTGTAGTGGACGCGTTACTAAAGTGTACTCTAATAGTCTCAGGAACGGCGCTTAGTCTAGACTTATCGCAAGTCTCAAATGAGCGAGTTAGTCTATAACGAGTATAGTGAGATACATTGGCCTAATCTTTCACATATTAGGTATTTTCACAAACAATTCTTAAGTGTTATGTATTTAAATATCACATAATATAATGTATGTCTAATTAAATGTATCGGATTTTTATGAAATTGTATTAAATACTTTATTAACCTTGTGAAGACGCTACCGAATAATTTCTTCTTATTTCTCTACTCGACTTGGTATCTTGTAGGTATAATCTATGGTTATTTTCGTGTTTATTATTAATTTTACTTATACAATCGTTAGTTATCTAAATTAAGAAATCAATACATAAAGTAGCCTTTGTAAATTTATATGTGTATGTTACACAATAATTTTTAAATGAAATGCTTATGTTTGTTTTTAGTATTAAAATAATTTTTCTTATTATTTTCTCAAACATCTACAACACCCGTAAATTACATGACAATCGGTTGGGTATTCGAGTTATGGAACAAAAAATATTTATATCTAAAATAATACAATATATTTCTTTCATATTTTTTATTAGAAAAGTAAAGTTTTTTATCAATTTTTAACAATTAATAACACCTCAGTCGAGTTAACACACACTATAACCATAACAAATTACAAATCACAGTTCAATCGTGACTTAAACTAATTAATTATATTTGAAAATAAGGAACCTTTACAATATTGTGTAAAGAAAAAACATTGTTGTAAGCGATACAACAAAAAAAATTAAAAAAGGTTCGAATGAGTTTTTTTTTCAGTAGTTTAAAAACAAAATTATATTCAAACAGATTCTTTTACAATAAAAACTATTTTATAATTGTTTAACTCCGTCATGACTTAGACGAAAAATGTTAGTCAAACAAGTATATAACAAAAAACTTGTTTTAATATTTAAAAAAAATGTATGTTATACTAAGTAATTCCGATTTCTATCAAAATATAACAAAAATCTACTTATACAGAAGTGTTACCCGTTTCAAAAAAGAAAGTAAATTATAGAATATCAAATAATTATTATAATCACCACACACATTTTGTAATAGATACAAAAATATGTCTTGAACAAAAAAGTATGATTTAAACTTGCTTATAACAAAGGCTAAAGATTCATATTCATATATATGAATTTAAATGGCGACTTTTTAAAAATTCCTATTTATTTATCAAAGTATTGTTTATCTTTATCAAGTCGGACATCAGCCATACAAGCAACAGAAAAGTACAAATAGTTTAAAAACATAAAAACAGCTTATAATGTATTAGAAACATAATGAAATCCAAATAAATTTATTGGTGTATGTTTAATTAATTTTATGTCCCAGCAGAAAGACAATTATGGATTTAACACGAATTGAGATAAATTATGATGGAAGAAATTTTAGTTATTACCATACAATCTCATCTCATCTCAATTACATATATAAGTACGAAATACTAATAATCTTTCCTTATTTATACTAATAACAAAAAGGTTTTTCAGATTCTTATATGAAGAAAACATTTAATTACACTCATCAAAATTACTTATAACAAAAAATTACTTTCTTTGTTTATAATCAAATATTAGTCTTAATTTAATTTTTAGTCTGATCCATTGATCCAAAATATATTGATTTTTATATTTCAATACATTTATTGAAATATAATAATCAAATATTTTCACACGTACACGCATCATATTAAAAAAATAAATGAACATCGCCGGGGCAACACCAAGGCGTGTGAACCAGATGATTCCTGATACCACACAAGCTAGTGAAAATGGCATTGCTATCCTAACATCGGGACAATCATGTAGTCTTAGGTATGGTTTGTAAGTTTTAATATGTAATTCTTATTATAATATACATATAAGTAAATTTGGTAGTTTTCTCGAAACCTCTGGTAGGCACACAATGTAATTCAGAGTATTTTTTTGCTACATACGAAATAGAATGCACAATTACAATAACCACGAACTGAAGAGAATAGAATATTATTATCGAATACAAATAACAGATAAATCTCATTAAAACCTACTAAAAGACTTGGGTCTGTCCAGAACTCACATTAATTCTTTCTTGGAATGCACTTCGAAGGCAGCCCCAGTAGGTTCCTTTCAGATTTTATTAGGTAGAGAGTGGAGCTTGGACAGTGGAGGTGAGCGTTTAATACGCGTTAAATAGGGGCCTCTTAAACCAACACCTGGGTCGCAAGTCCCAGGCACTGTTGAAGCTCCTCTCTCTACAACGATGGACCCGGCACCCACACGGTGTATCCATTGAATGCTAAGAAATTTCGTCTCATATAAAAATTACAAATATAACTAATAAATTTAAGTCTTAGCAAAATTACAAAAAAACTACAACTACAATTGACATTACAATTTTGGACGTACTTACATACAGTATTTGTATATAACCAAGTAAATATAGTAAATAAAGTTTTCGATTTACTTATCAGTGTAATTTATTTTATAGTCGAGTCAGTATTTGTAATAGTCACTATAGATTTGAGTATTTTCATTAACAGTATAAAAATAAGCAACCAATGTTACTTGAACCTTACTAAACTAGAACTAAAAATGTTTTTACATATCAAAACTATTTAATTAGGAATTACTTTAAATAAACGAAATACTCTCTAATATCGTCAATGATCACAATTGCAACGATAAAATGTTATAAGGTCAAGAAAATCCGAAAAAACATAGTTCTATTCACATATACACTCACTAACATCAAATATAATTATGTATCAAAAATATATACTTAGCTAAGACTAAACTTTATATAGTAACAATTATAAGAAAAATAGCTTATCAGCTAACGCTTCAGATGGTTGTTGATGTATATTCTGTCCTACAAGCGATGCTAGCTTGTGTGCGTATTGACAAGGCGCGGGCACACGAACAGTACCGGGCCAATTGTAATATAGATGACACAATTTGTATGTTAATCTCTGACACTGGTCCGGCGACATTGGACTGTTGTCACTAACAACCACATAGTGAGTAGGGGTCACGGTACCCTGGTTAACCTTCTGTGATACTATTAAGAAGTCGTACCTGAAAATTGGAATCAATATAATTTTCTTTAATAATCTTATACTTTTATAATTTTAATTTAATCTGAGATCATAATTATGATTTTTGATTCTGGTGATTTTTTATACAAAAACACATTTTTCTATGGCCAGTAGACTGCATTGAGATATGATATAAAAATAATGCTGGTTAAATTTTTAAAAACGAATATTTATCATTTTGTTTTGGAGTCCCTGGAACTAAACTATGTATAATCTAAAAAATATCATTTTCAAAAAACCGTTAATGAAAAATAGTTTTCGTTAAAATTTTCTTACTAGCCTCATTTAACAAAAGTAATTAATTATTATATAAGTAGTATTACACTCACCAATCCCTTCTAGTTATCTTATGATCGACTATTGTTCCTGGTGCGGGGTTACTAAAACCTTCTCTCGACTTCAAAAATATTCGCGTATTAATACGTTTCTGAACAACGATGTAGGTTAGAGTGGGCTTGTAAGTGTCATCGACAACTGAAAAACTTACTTCCATTTGAGGTATCTCATACTCTTTGAGAAGTTTTAATTGACCATCGCCCACACCATCTCTGTAATGTTAAAATGTAAAAAAATATATCCTTTACTTGTACTTAAATAGAAATAATAACTTCTATGTTTAAAGCTTATTAAAACTAATTAAAAAGAGAATAATCTAAATAAAAGGTGAATAATACTAATAAAACTTTATTACCTATATATTATAATCCTATCGGGTAATCTTCCGTTTATTCTTAGGTAATGTTTGAGAGCGTCGACTAAACAGGATTTAAGACTGTCCACTATTTCTTGACCCCTCTCTTGGAACACCGCCTTGGAATACCAGTGCGTCATTGATTGGTTGTATGAAGCCACAAAAGCTGAAAAAACATACATTGTATGTACTTTCTATAATATTATTGCTAAATTGTTCAATCTGTTGAATTTTTGTAAACTATGCTTATTATCCCTACTAATATTATAAATACGAAAGTAGCTCTGTCTGTCTGTCTGTCTGTTACGTTTTCACGCCTAAGTTGATGAGTTGATAGAGAACATAGGATAGTTTTTATGACAGACTTTTGAAAAGTTCTGTTGGAAACGCGATATAACCGAACTGCACGCGGGCGAAGCTGCGGGCAGAAAGCTAGTTTTTATATAAATTCAATTTTATACGAAAATGTATGTTAAAATTTCATTTAATTACATAATTACCATAGCATTTATATATAATGGTGATTTATTTTTATATACATCATCATCATCATATAAGGCTATATAATAATTAATATTAGATAATTTACCACACACACTCCGTTTCTTCCTGCTAGCGTCATGGTATGAATCTATTCCGACCACCATAGCCGATTTGAAGGGTATACTAATATGCCACAAGGTACCACCCAGCTTACAATTAATTTGCAGTAATATCTTCTGAGTAATCGATCTTATTTTCTGACTGTTCATTATTGTACGAGCGTTGATCACCTTAAATAAATAAATTGTTTTGTGTTTGATTTAAATGCAATATAATAAACAGATAGACGCTATTAGTTTGTGTTATATTATTTAACATATAACATATTTTAGCATATGCATAGAATTTAAGTTTTTACATAAAACATTGATTTAATAAAAAAAATATGTTTTTTTATCTAGTTAGGCTGATTTTCAAGCATAGTTGGTTCTAGAATCTGTTACAAATTTCAATAAATTATTTCATTATTATCTGTTAACTTTTTTAATTATAAATTTTATGAGACATTTTGACAGTTATTTTATTATAAACCATAGTGGTACCTGAGATGGTACGGGGTTCTCAGCGCAGCATATCTTCTTGATGGCAGCGTACCTATCGTCTCTGATTGTAGGACAGATGGCTACCACAACTTGTAACTGACTGCTGATACATTTCTTGAGAGCCATCACGTATGTGTCGGTACGATCGTTAGGTAGTCGGACCATATCCGGGTTAGACACGTTTATACCCATCGGACGGCTGCAACGCTTTATAGTTTCTACGAAATCCTGCATATATACATTATTTTAATAACTTTGTGATATTCAATAGAAAACGTTCAATTAATCTATACTATGAAATTATATCTAAATATATAAATTTTGCTATGACACTCTTTTCGCCGTGAATAACGTTATAGTTAAATAACAATGACATAATATCGATATTAACTATATGCATTGTTTCATTCAGTTATTTTTAGACAAATATGACGTCATACGTATTTATAACATTTCACAAGTCAACAAGTATGGCAATGGCATTGCAAAATTGATTTGATATCTCATTATCGCAAGTTCGAAACCTGCTCAATGAATTTTAATCATTTATGAGTTGAATACCGTTAAATATATATTTTCACTCACCGAAGCCACCTGTTTATCTCGATCAGTGAACAGAACAACCCATCTTAATATATCTACGGCTTGCATCACACTATTCTTTCCAACGTCGCCGTTCCATTCGGAATTCGGCTGTCCCGGTACTTTGACATTGTTGCCAAAATATAGAGTCTCTGGTGCTAAAGTACGGCCAGCTATCTCAATCGTTTCAGGAGCTATTGTAAGACCCCAGCCTTTAAGACGATTCAAGGCCGTCTCGTTTTCTAGAACATTTTGGATGTACTGTGGGATAACATTATTTTTATTATTCGTAATTACAGCAATTAATTAAGGAACCAAAAACATTCTATCCTACTTCCTACTAATATTATAATTGCGAAAGTTTGTGAGTGTGTGTGTATGTTTGTTACTTCTTCACGCTCAAACGGCTGAACCGATTTTGATAAAATTTTGTATACAGGAAGCTGACGTCCAGAAATAACACATAGGCTACTTTACATCCCGGAAATCCCAGAAATCCGCGGGTAACTCCGCGGGGCGCAGCTAGTTTTATATAAATCCAATTAAGTGTGTTTTTTGTTTTGTAAAAACTAAATGAAACAAGGCCACTGATACAAATCTCCCTCTTTAGTAGAAATTACAGTATGAATACTATGAACTCACGGATAAAGACTATAACAAATACTGACCACGGAACCAACATTACATATAAATTAAGAGGTTTGCAAACATGCGAGAACAAATTAAATACAATAAATTATTAGTCTGGTCGACATAATATAACGTATACGAAGAGGATAGCCAGTTTGGGGTTTTAATTCATTTTGTTTTAGAAACAATGCTACGTAACGTTCTGTAAGAAACACCCCTCCCGGCCCTGTAATGCATCGTTTGCCTCCAGATTGCATTACGTAATACTTGAACGCTGAATAAGAAATCTAATTTAATTATATTTAATAACAATAATTGTGAAGACACAATCATTAATACCTTTTTAAAAGCAGCATGCCGTTGATTCGGTGTTATTCTGGTGTAAGTGGCGACATCTTTCATAAGTTTGAAATTACTTCTCTGACTGTCCGATAAACCAGTTAGTTGACACAGTTCCGGTACCAGGCATATCATGAAATCAGTAACCTGCTCTGACCCTGGCATACGCTTGGAGTCTCTGTTACATAATGATAAGTTAACGATAACAACAAAATAATACAATTATTATTTCCAATAACAATTTACAATAAATAATAGTAATAATGATTTTTTTACTGTTTCTATGTAAATTAAGACTTGCTCATGACTTTAACTAAAGATAGGTCTTTGAGTTATTGAACTGGAATAAAAAATGGAAATTTTGGGAAACTTTGTCTTCCAACTTATTTAATTTTTAATTAAGTAGAAACTCGATTATCCGGTCCTCAGTTATACGGATTCGCTATTATCCGGACTACGGACAAGTCCGAACAAGATAACATGTCAAAGCATAAGAGAGTGGTGATGTTGAGAGTGGCGTACGTCAATAATAATAATGACAATTACCAAATATTTTAAACTTATTACTTAGTTTGTGATCACCAATTGCAAAATAACCAAATACATATTGTAATTTATTTTTTAAATAAACATATAATGTTATGTACTACATATGCACAAAACCGGCTGTTCTTCATACATTCGATTATCCGGATTTTCGATTATCCGAATGCCTATCGATAACAATTAGTCCGGTTGATAGAGTTTCTACTGTACTTGGCCACAGAATTCTAATTTGTGTTACCCGAAGTGTCTTCATAAATTTCAGCTATGATAATTATTGATAAATAGTAGATGTTTATTTGTCATGAAAAATAATTATCCCTATCAACTCAAAGATCTAATCTTATTATACCTAAATCTAATTACTTTTTTATATTAACACATTTATTTAATTACTCTCACTCACCTAGAAATCAACATTGGCTGATCCATATCCATAATATCAATACCTTTATTCTTGTAATAGTCAAGATATGTAATTTTAACCATTTGTCCCTTTTCATTCTTCTCAAATGTTGATCTTGGAGTTATTGTGTCATCTATACTGTCAACCCTGAAAAATTGGAAAGCTTATATTATAAAATGACCGTCAAATAATAAATAATAAATCATTGTAAATGAGTATCATAAATTAAACATTCAATTTTCATTCATAGAAATTCAGATCTAGTATCAATGTATAAGATATATGAATAGGTGACTACAAACTGTCTATATTGCATTTTACATTGAAAACTCATACTAGGGTTAAGTGCATCATATCAAAATTAAATTAGAATAGTACATTATATTGTATAACAAAAATTCACTCTTGAATATATGATAAAATAATAATATTATAAATACATATATAAAAACGAGTAAAGATTTTGATGAATTTTTCCAGTGATATATTAAAATGTAGATTTTAATTCATTCAAAAGTTGTATGTATTTCCTCAGCATGAAAGTTGATAATACTATGTATATAAGTCACAGAGTACTTTTGGCGCTGTTATCAATTTCTCTCACAGTTCGATCCTAAAGTCAACATCTACCTAGTCGCAGGTTTTAAACTAAGACGAGACGAAAGTCTTCAATCGATTCACCGTTTGGGTAGCGGGTTTATCGCGTTGCAGGAAGAGAAGCTTCAACGGTGCCTGGAACTTGCGACCCAAGTGTAGGTTTAAGGGGTCTTTATCTAACGCGAGTTAAACGTTCACCTCCACCGTCTAATCTCCTCTCCCTACCTAACCAAATTTGAAAAAAAACCTAATAGGGCTGCCTTCGAAGTATGTTCCAAGAATGAATTAATGTTAGATCTGGAAAAGCCCAAGTCTTTTAGAAGGTTGTAGAGAGAATTAGCTGTTATATTCTCGCTCCCACTTCTACCGCATACAAATATATACAAGTGTGTGACATATTTACCGAAACAGTTTTTTATTATATGTTGTCATAACTGATGTTCCGATGAGTGCATCACTAATATGTCTCTTCCATCCAGCCCCTTGAGTCTGTACAGTCTCTTTGATCAGTGACAACACAGTCTGTGTACGAAGCACACGATGAGTCGAGTCTAGAGTCAACATGAGACCGCCTTCATACTCATCAACCGCTGTCACATAACTGAAACATGATATTTATAAAGTTTATAAAATTTTGTTTATAGTTATATTATAAGTAATACTTAATTAACTATACTAAACAGATGATGACTTCAAATACTCTTTTTTTAAATTAAAAAAGCATTTAATATTATTAATGCGAGAGTAACTCTGTGTCTGTCTGCTTTCACGTCTAAACGATAGAACCGTTTTTAATGAATTTTGTTATAAAGATAAAGGGAAGCTTAGAGGAGAAAATAGGCTTTTTATTCCTGTCCCGAAATCGATCCCAAAACTACACGAGTAAAACGATTGAGTACAGTTTGAGTTTAGTGGCTATAAAAGCAGAGAACAGCAGACACTTTTTATTTGGACATTGAATTATCATCATTTTCATCAGTCTATCAGAGCCCACTGCTGAGCAAAGGCCTCTCCTTACATGGAGAAGATTTGAGCATTAATCACCATATTTGCTCAAGACGGGTTGGCGTTTTCAAACTTATAATTTGAAATTGTAAGCCCAAGTTTCCTCACGATGTTTTCCTTCACCGTCTGTTAGTGGTGTCTAAATGCTCTTAGAAAGTAAATATGACTCGGAAAAATCACATTGGTACTTGCCAGGTTTAGAACCCGCACCCTCATGCATGAGAGGCGGTCCTTTAACCACTAAGCTATCACAGATTTTTGACATTGAATAAGTACTTGTATATAATGAATAGTGATTTTCGTGCTTTCTGTAGCTTCTATAACTAAATATTAAGAGTATGTACTCTTATAATAATACTTACCCCGGACAAACTTCAAGTTTATATTGTGGTATTTGTATTGCTGCTTTCTCATTGAAGTGCTGTCGTCCGAACCTAACAAGATTCAGATCTCTCATTATATGTTTAAATAGCATATTATATATATGTATCATTTCACGTAGGAGACGAGGACGGCGGTATAAAATCTGGAAATTTTATACAGTTGTAATAATTTCATTATGTTATTTAAATGCATAGAATTACACACACAAACTCATTTGCATGTAGAAAGAGGGTTTTGTAGTTTTTTATTAGTATTTTTATAAGTAAACCCAAAATTTACTATACCCAAGCTAGAGAAATATCAATATAGAATAGAATAAAAGATGATGTGAAGACGACTGTTGAAGAAGTGTGTGAACATTTTGTATTTTCACCCAGTCTTTGTTATCCATACCCTATATATATATATATATAGGGTATGGATATATATATATATACATTAGGAGTTATGCACAATAATTTTTGAATAAAAAAAGTTTAGGATACAAAAAAAATCATCTTCGAAATCATATATTAAATACTTACAGTTATATTAACTTTACTATTGTCGTAAGGATTGGTTGAAACTAGATTGAGAGCTTCATCTGGTAATTTGTGAGGTACATAGAGAGTTGTGCCATCAAATGTCTTTTGTTGGAAGAAGTGATTATGTTCTGCAATCATATAAATACAATATAATTACATTACATTAAAGAAACAAATATAATGTTTGTTAACATGACATATTATCTCCTTAAGACCCAGTTTCACCAATCAATGTTAAATAAGTAACATTGTGTTAAGGCGTTTGATGCTCTGTTAGATGTATCGAGCGTCCCGCCAAGCACAAATGTCCGTTTAAATGTCTTAACCAGCCACTAATATTAATTCCCGCTCTGGAGCTCCGTCTAATGGCTAACAGAATGTTAATGGCATTGTCAAAACTCAATTGTCCAATCACAGCCCTGATTTCTTGTAACCATAGTAACGTCACCTGTTTTGTCAGTTGGGACTATTTCCTTGTTATTATTAATAAAGTGAATTAAAATTTCATTTAGTATGATGATTTTGCCTCCAGCTTGTCCAGTTTTCTTTTTATTTCTTATAATTTGGACAGAATTTTTGTCTATATTTATAACACAATAATATATAACATAATTTATTGACAACACGATTTTGACAAGTTACACCTAGTAAATTGAAAAGAAAGCTTCTTGTGTGCTAAATGTATGAAACCAACGATATATAGTCCAAGAGCCCGGGGCCCCCAGACGTTACTTATTTTCTGAGTAACGAAAAGTATCGTACAGAGTGGTGTTAGGGTATACGTTGAAGGTATGCATACCTGCTAACTTGGGCCGACGGCCAATTCACAGGTACCAGGTGCTAGAGGTACATAAAAATATTGATCACTTTTCTTAAATTCTGAGAGCTGATTTTTATATATATTTTAAAAAATTGAATTAAATATTTAAAATTAATAGTGCCAGAACGTTTTCGTCGGCGGTAATTTACGCCAGAAGCTTTAAAGTTTCGAAAAAAATAACGTAAGTTTACTCAAAGTCTGAGTCTTGATTTTTATATATGATATTTTAGAAACTATTTTAACACTATTTCTATGCAGCCAGAAAAATTCTAGGGGCCAAATATCTCCCAGACATATTTAAAACTCGCCATGAGTATTAACGCGCACACAATGTTTTCGCGGTTTTATATCACAGGCCTGTTGAATTTATGTTTTAGTTCAGTCTGGTAATTTTTTAAATAATCAAACCATATTTTAGTGCCCAATTACAAATTATAAATTTCAGTATGATAAAAATTATTAAGTTATGAGTGGGAAGGTTCGTACGAAAAGTAACAAAAAAAATAATTTTGTTACTAGCATTTTATCCTGTAAAAAATATTTATTTGTATTTTTCTACAAAACATAGAGAAATATGTAGAGCAAATATTATAAAAAAAATATTTAAGATGAATTACTTTCTTTATTAATAATTAAATTTTAGTTTTTAATATTCGTCATCGTCATCATTGGTATTTGAGAACTCGTCATCCAGCCAATTATTGTATTGAGTCTCTAAGTCATCATCATCATCATTAATATCAGTATTACTTATTTCTGTCTCTTTAACATCAAATAAAATGTCATAATTATGAGTAAAATAGCTACATATTTATAAAAGAAATTTAAAAAAAATCTAAGTTTTTGTCAAGCGATTCACTGACGGTAACTTATCGCCATCGAACCAATTAAATTGATATCGCTTGTCTTCTAGCTTCCATCCGTTATTCTCTGGTCTGAAAATACCAAGCATCTTCATATGAGCATTATTCCAAGAGACTAGCGATGTAATTTGCTCTACGGAACTGCTGTCGAAGTTCAGTCTTACGCGGTGTAAGTTGCTCGCATCAAAGTTTTTAATATTTTTCCGGATAAACTCTTCATTTACATCAGAAGCAGTATAGGTGTTGATAAGCTATTAAAGTCTTGCAGCATCTACATCAATGACTCCGGCCACGTTATAAACATTGCAAATAAAGTTTTGGATGGTATTGAAGGTTTCTTCCTCAAGTTCACTATTACTACTGAATAACTCCAGTTCGCTAAATCTGGAAAGTGCTTTTTGGAACTCTCCATTTTTTCTAAGAATACTGAATGGCCTTTGTTTACCTTTCTTAAAAAAAGCAGGATTGTAATCACAGCCAGTGATCGCATGAAAGCCTGGTAAACTTTGAGATAAAGACGGTTCTTATTCCTCGTAAATAATAATCTTATGCATACCCATGGCTGCATAGAAATAGTGTTAAAATAGTTTCTAAAATATCATATATATAAATCAAGACTCAGACTTTGAGTAAACTTACGTTATTTTTTTCCAAACTTTAAAGCTTCTAGCGTAAATTATCGCCGACGAAAACGTTCTGGCACTATTAATTTTAAATATTTAATTCAATTTTTTAAAATATATATAAAAATCAGCTCTCAGAATTTAAGAAAAGTGACCAATATTTTTATGTACCTCTAGCACCTGGTACCTGTGAATTGGCCGTCGGCCCAAGTTAGCAGGTATGCATACCTTCAACGTATACCCTAACACCACTCTGTACGATACTTTTCGTTACTCAGAAAATAAGTAACGTCTGGGGGCCCCGGGCTCTTACTCTAATATAAAATTTGGTCGCATTAGCTTACAAGTGACATATCGAAGGATATATACGATCAAAGTATAAAGTGGTGCATCGTGGCAAACGTGCCATGTTAAACGCTATAGTTTCCACTTGGTCGTCTTGTAACAAGAACGAATAATTTGGTAGTCGGTCATTTGACATGTCGTTTAATAATGCGTTGTTAATTTGTCATCGTGGGACGTATATACAGTATGTTATACAGCAAATGGCGTTCCCTTGAACACTTTAATATATATCACTAATAGATTGAAATTAATATATCAGCATAGAAAAATAAGCACAAAATAATCTAAATAAAAAATAATAATTTATTCACAATAATTTCGAAACCTCCTATATGTATGTGGCGCGGAATAGAACGTATGTATCTAGCGTAGTAGCATTGCCGAAAGTGGCAACGTCGCAATACGCACGATGCCGAGCGGCGCCTTTTGTAGTGGCGGCATATTGAATTATAAAGACACGTAGTCGGATTTTTAACAGTAAAAATAAACATTTTAAATGTATGTTTAGTTTTAGAAATAACACTTAACCCGTCTCAAATGTATTGCTGACTAAGGAACGTGTCACTGAGGTACCTATTCGCAAACAGTAAATAAAAAAAAAACAAATTCAACCATCATATCTAAGCCACGTTTCAATAACATTACAATAATAATACAGAGAATTAGACAGAATTTGCACGCAACGGCCGAGTAATGAACGCGGGGCGGTGGGGCGGTAGCGCTTTTGAGTTCTGCCGACACGTCGCCGTCATGTCACCGCCTGCTCGTTGTTACAAAATAAACAAAATATACTAGTTAATACAGAAGGTCTACTCGCTGGGTACATGAATTTGCTTTACATATTAAGTTGGATGAAAGTTTATTTAAACCACAGTTTAGGCTAGCATTTAAATGATCATGATGGTATTACACAATTTATTTACAGTTCACATGGAGGTATTAAGCAGTTTTAGGAAAGAGTTCTGAACTTATTAATTTTGTGGCACACTCGTTTAGTGTTATTTTTTTTAATGTTCTCGAAATGTTTAAGGTATTATGATACATTTAAATAATGTTAAAACTTACCTAGATTTTGAACTGCTCGATATGCTGACCTCCTCCTCTGTCTACACATTGTTGCAATCGCCGACGGTTATTTTCGTGCACTTTTTGAAGTGAGTACGGATGCTGCTTGTTTTTCTTTAATATTTTAAACACTACGACGTGACTCATATTGAACAGGCGGCCGGCTCTTCTGGTGCTTGAACCGGGCTCCTCCTCAAAATGCCTAAGCACGTTCTCTTCCTGTCGCACTGAAATCACGGGTCGCGGGCCACCTGAACGACGCGGCACTACCGGCTCATTATTACGCATACGCACCAGGGCACTCACAATTACACGAGAATTCCGCGGTTGGTGTGCATTAGGGTACCTCTCAGCATACATCCTCAGAGCACGTGCACCATCATAGTCACACTCAGCATAAATGAGCACCATATTCACATACTCCTGCGCACTGAACTGATAACGCGGCATCTTTCACACGAAAATACGTAGACGTAGTAATGCGGAAATAATAGACGTGCGATCCCGGTCAGCAGCGTGGGATTACTAAATAGTAAATACTAAAAAATAAAATTTCGCGGACGTTCGGGGGCGGGGGTCGGGTGACACTTTAAAATCGTAGATCAATCGAATGCCGCATACGCGGCCCGTCTTTTATAAGTTGCGACGTTGCCGTTCTTCAAATATGCGTGTACAGGATGTTTCTTTTACAAGTAAATTTAATATTTTTAATGATTTTTTTTTAAATAAAAAAAAATAAAAAACATTTTGTTTTCGATTGGTAATATTTTTTTTAGCATGTATGGATGCTACATTATTGCGGATTAATGGGAACGTGAATTGTTAGTTAACATACTGTATTTTAACAGACATTTATAATTTTGAAGGTTGGTTAGTAAATGCTGTGATTAGACTAAAAAAAAACACGGATTGGTGAAACTGGGTCTAAAGCAGATTTTATTAATCCCAAAGCCTAACACGTCTTAAAGCCTTGAAATGAGAAATATAACAAAGCATAGTTAAATATATGATTATTTGATATTTTCTTACCATTTAAAAGTTTAAATCTCAAATGCTTGTAATCCTGATCCGGTTCATATCTCACTTCATATTCAAACACAGTGTTATCTTCATATTTAAGATAAATAAAGTTGGCTGTCAGGTCGCATGGAGTACCACTCTCTCCCTTCATAACTACTGGCTTTGTTTGACTGATTTCACTCTATAAATATGTTAATTATATGGTCAAGATATACTATTAAGAATTGCATAAAAAATGAAAAAGTATGTTACACATAATTCACAGTTATTAATATATGCTAAGGTTTAAATAATAAAAAAAATCTAGATAAATAATGGTTAATAGCAATGGTTTGATCTTTTCATGTGAAATATTAAGCCCATTCATTTAGTAGTCACTAAAAAGTTACGCTATTGTAATATATCGTGAGAGGGCGCAACTGTGACAGCATAAACATCAGCTCCGTATATATTTTGTAATAAAAATAAAAATCATAAAAGTAAAAAAAATAGTGAAAAACCAGTGTAAAAGTATAAGAGACTAGTAAAATTAGTGAAAGAAAGTTAAAATATAAACTATTAATTATTTTAAAACACGATAAAGTGGTAAAATAGACAATAACAATAAAGTGTTTTTTTATGGTGATAGAAAGAAGTTGTTTCAAGCTACTCATTCTGTGATTTATGTGACTGTCTAATGAGAAAAACCACGGCCGATCTAGCAAAAACTAAGTTCCGATAAAAAAGTTAGAAATACAATAACCTAAAAATCAAAGTATTGCCAAGTCACTCAATAGTACCACCAACTTTTTAAAAAAAAGCGTCATCTAACGGAGTGTAATACGCTAATATCGTCAATATCGATAACTCATAGTAGCCGAGCAGAAATTCTACGAGCCCACTTAATACTGCCACGCGTCAACAGAGGGCGCAAAAACCCAATATGGATGAAATTAAAGATATGTTAAGAACAATGCAAGAAATGAGACAGCAAAAAGTAGACATGGTAGCCATGAAAGAAGACATTAAAAACACAATCAACAATAAAATAAATGAGAAATTTAAGAGTTTGGACAACAAAAACTTACAACTAGAGCAAAACTTGGAAACTGGAATTGTTAATCGATAACTTTGAAAGGTTCAATAGAAGAAAAAACCTGCTGTTTTTTGGAGTTGAAGAGCGAGAAATTAGCTATCAAGATTTGGAGAAAAAAGTTCTACATATCATAAACAACATTTTGAACATCAAATGTGAAAAGCATTACTTAGAATCTGTAAGAATCTATCAAATTCTCCAGAGACGGCAACGAACACAACAAACCTTATGAACATAGAAAAACAGAACCAAAACAACCTGCTAAGTTAAACAAGACTAATAACATAAGCAATTATATTATAAGAAAACCTACGTTCACATTACCAGAAAATTCACAAAGAAGCATCTCTAATCAAAATTCAAAATAGCAACCAACGCCGCCTCCTCTCGGTTTCCCAACACGGCTTGTCACCGCGGAAGCTCTAGACTATAACCCTCCAGTATGCCATCAACAAGATCTTTATAAACAAAACCTTTACATGTGTACATACAATGTAAAATCCCCATTATCACCGCAAAGAATGCTACTGCTACAATACTCTTTAGAGAATATTAAATATAATATTATTGGACTAGCAGTTAAGTCAGAAGAAATGGAAATAATGTCATTGAGGACGATCAGCATATATTCTGTCACACTGGGGAGTCCAAAGGACTCCATGGAGTCGGATTCTTAATTAAGAAAAAATACAAAACTAATATTGAAAATTACATAGGCATATCTGAAAGAGTCTGTCTGCTGAACTTGAACTTTGTAACAACGAAACTTTCACTTATACAAGTTTACGCACCCCCCTCGGACGCAACTGAGAAAGAGACTGATGCCTTCTATGACCAAATAGAAAATGCCCGAAGCCTTGCAACCGGCAAAGTAATATTATTGGCTGACTGGAATGCAAAGAAAGGTAAAAGAAAACTCGAAGAAAATACAATAATACTGGTACGGTGAGAGAAATCATAGAGGCAAAAAACTTATTCAGTATGCTCTTAAAAATAAATTTACCATAATAAACAAAATATTTAAGAAAAAAATCAAGAATCTTTGGACATGGATAACACCGGACAAACAAAACAAAAACCAAATAGACTTCATATTGAGTAATCACTCAAAGCTCTTTACCGACATAAAAGTCCTGAACAAACTCTCCTTCCCAAGTGACCCAAGTGACCAAGTGACCACAGACTTTTGAGAGGAACAATAACTCTAAATACACAAAAGAAAAGCCGAGCTAACTTTAATTCAAACCCAGTAATCAACTTATCTGACGAGAAATCACAACAAATTTTCCTTCATGCCCTAAGAACAAAAATAGAACAATTGAGCTGGGAAGACAATGATGACATAGAGTCTTATTATTTCAAGATTGAGTCATCCATACAAGAAAGTTTAAAGAATACTTCTCCTATCAAAACAAATAAAGAAATAATATCAGAAGAAACTAAAAACCTAATTAAAAAACGCACCGATCTACAATATAAATCCTCCAAATCAAAAGAAGAAAAAAAAGAATTGTCAGAACTATACAAAATTACAAATAAACTACTTAAAAAAGAATACGGTAATTACAGGATAGAAATAATTGAAAAATATTTACGCTCCACTGGAAGCCAAAAGAAAGTATATAAACAATTAAATACAGGGAAAAAATGGATTCCAATATTGAAGACAAAAAATAAGCTAAAACAACAACAAACTAGAAAAGACCTTGTAAAAATTGCCTCAAACTTCTACGAAGAGCTGTACGATGATGAATCTGCCGATAATTAATTAAAGCTACGAAAAGTCCTCAAAAACAGGAGATAGAAATCAAACAATTCAACCTTTCCACAGCGCCGAAATAATAAAGAGAATCGAAAAATTGAAAAAATATAAAAGCCCTGGGGCCGATAATATCCCAAACGAAGCTTTAATACTAGGAAAACATCTATTGTTAGGTCCGCTCACTACTCTCTTTAATAAAATACTTGAAAAACAAGAAATACCGATCAATTGGGCAAAGTCACGGAGAACTCTTATATACAAAAACGGAGATCCAGAGGACATAAATAACTACCGACCTATTAGTCTACTGCCTACAATTTATAAGCTGTTTGCTATGTGCCTAGAGAAAAGAAAAGAGCCGACTATAGAAAAGAACCAACCGGTAGAACAGGCTGGGTTTCGCCAAGGGTACTCAACAATGGATCATATACACACCTCTAATATAAAAGAAACTCTATATAGCATACGTTGACTACGCGAAAGCGTTTGATTCTATCTCGCGTAAAAGTATCTGGGACGCATTGGAGCATCAGAACCTTCACTCTACATGTATCAATATTATCAAGGATATATGAATACAGGGTGACTGGTGAATTACTATCAATATTTAAGGAGCATACTTGGTACATGATTCTCATTCGAATTATGTAAAAAAAAATAGGTACTTAATTTTTGACCAAATTTCCGTATAAATAAATAAAGTGTGTACACGTTCCAAGTGTTCCAAGTGTGAACGCGTGCGGCGGCGTGCTGATACAACAACACGCCGCCGCGCGCGTATGTGTGTGTGTGTATACCTAATCTGTAGGGTGTTCATACGATGCGTAATTAATTACATAACTTTTGGTTAACTTTACTTAGAAGTTTATTAATATTTATGTTATATTAATTTTTATTTTGTCATATATGATCGTCAAATATCACGTCCTCAAATATCGATAGTAATTCACCAGTCACCCTGTATAGAAAAAGCACAAGGTGGGTTAAACGAGACAGGCTAGGCCAAGAATTTAATATTCGTAGAGGCGTGAAACATTGAAACCCGCTATCACCAAAGATCTTCATTGCTGTCTTACAAAATATTATGAAAGACCTAGATTGGGATCAAAAAGGAATAAATATAGATGGAAATAACCTCAGTAATCTGAGATTCGCTGACGATATAGTACTTTTTGCTAATTCATCAAAACAACTTCAGGAAATCCTGGTCCTGGAGTATAAAGAAAAAAGGGCAGACCAACAGCTCGCTGGGCCGACGACATACCATAAGTAGCAGGAAGAAACTGGGTGAAAACAGCTACCGACTAGAAAAAATGGAGGCAACTGGAGGAGGCCTATACCCGAAAGGGGCCATAACATACTTAGCTTATAATATTGACATATACTTAATGTTCTTTTTTCTAACGGTAAGCGATGTTTTTGGATTAATAAAGGTCTTATTATTATTATTATTGAAATTAGTTATATTAAGTTATGTATAAAGTACATTTTAAATACCTACATAATATTTGTTCTTCCCTCCAGGCAAATTAGCTGAAGATACAGATGAAGCTGCAAGACCTTTTGTTATATTTTCTACACTGGAGTCTACGGTGGAACTTGCAGGTGTCTGCTTTCTCCTGTAAATTGTATTATTAAAAACATTTTTATTTGTTTTTTTTATTTTTCGTATAGATTATATACTAAAATCCAAATCATAAATGGAATTCATACTTAAATTGTGCAAATTAAACATACATATTAATTATTGTATATTGTTACATATTATTTTTTAAATAATGATAGTTTTAAGAAACTGAACAAAATACACGCTTTTATAGCTAACCAAACTAAAAATTTTTAAATAACTTTCAATTACAAAGAAATTATTATAATTCAGAGTAAAAAGCGTGGGCTGCTTGATATTGAAAGCAACAATCATTCTAGTGACAACTTTATATGTATAAGTAGGATGTGAAATGTAGTCAAATGCACCAAATTGAAAATTATTTTCTATTTTTTAGTCTGATTAGCTAGAAAAACGTGTTTTTTTTTTGTTTTTGAAACTATTATTTATTTTCAACTTTTTAGTTAGATTAATTTTAAAAAAGCAAACTGCAGATATGAGCAGTCCACATACTAGCACTATCTCTCTCACTTCAATATGTGGGATCGATGAAAGAATTAATTAATCCTTGCAGTCCTAATAAAGATTTTGATAAATGGTTATCAAATTATTCCTTTGTCATCGGTCCTTGATACATATGCAAAGTTCCAAATTGATTAGACCTCTGGGAAAACATAAAAATCGTGCTCAAAGATTTAATTTCATAGCCAGTTATATACAAAGCCAACTTAAAACACCATGTTAAAAATGCTATTGAGAGGTGGCTACTTACAAATTCTGTAGAAGCTGTAGTCCACGTCCAGCTCCTCGTCCTTGGCTTATAATACTTGGGCTCGGACTCACATCAGATGCTGGAGTGAACGTAGGCTTATCTGAAAAGGCATTTAAAATATGGGAATTATTGACATCATTTAAAATATGGTAAAAAAATTAGAGTGAAACGATTATTTTTCAGATTTACTACGCTTTTCTAATTATTTTTAACAACATACGCCCATTATTGCTCACGATTGACATTTATTACACGCAAAATCGTAAAGCACTCCACATTTTTGGAGGTGTGTTGTTAAAAACGCATAGTAAATCCGAAAAATAGTTTTATATCAATGAATACTCGCGGAAATTGTAGATCTCAGTGTAAACATGTACATGATAAAAATGCAATGAAATTTAGAAGTAAACATCAGTTAGATATTAAAATTGAGTTGGTCATTGAAATCAAGTACATATATTCTTATATAAAACTGATGAATACAATATCCTTTTTTTTATTGATATATTTGCAGTGATTTTCTAATACCAAGTCAAGATAAAGATATCTAAGACTTTTGTAAGTGTTTATTTAAATAAAACTTTTTTTTTAGGATATAGTAAATATTAAACTAAATACTCCCAATGTTTCTATCCAGGATCAATGTCTACCCATTATCATTGTAGTTTCTTTAATAATGAAAACATATTTATTGCTAAATAAAGATCTCTTTTGAATGTGTTTAGTTTAATAATTGTTCACAAATTAGGATTCTTTTGTATTATTCCTATAATAGGTTGTTGTTAGATAGAATATTCCTTAAAATTCACATACCACCTCCGGGTTTCTGCATTTTTGAAAGCAGCATTGCTGCCATTTTCCCTCTTCCTCCAGGAATAGTACTTGTTGAACTAACCTTATAGAATAAGAAGAAAAAAATATTTTTATCATTGATTAAGTTAATCTTTATTTAATTCACACGATGATTTAGAAATAAAAATTATTGTGTACCAATTTAAAACTGAAGAGTATTCTTTATGATAGTAAAACCACTATTTCCTTGATATTCATTATTCACTTACATTACTTGGGGCTACACTGGATGCTGTGTCAGGCACCAAATTAGGCTTTGCAGCAACATTTGCTGTTGCAGCAACACTTGCTGTTGTAGATGGTTCTTGTCTTGGATCCTGAGGGGCTGGTGACTCAGTTATCTGCGATTTAAGGGCCTGCAGCAAAGCCAGGCCTCGGCCGCGACCCCTTCCAGCATCAGCCATAATTATGACTGCATTACATAAAACAAGAAAAAAATATTGAAGACTAGTTTTCGCCCGCGACTTCGTCCGCGTTAATTTCGTCATTAGTAATGTAGGTATAGCTGACCGGGCGAACTCTATTCCGTCTTCAATAACCCGGTATTGGTATTTATTAAATTTCTCCAGTTTCAATCGAACAGAATGATTGACATATTAGTTAGTTGTCAAGTCTAATGTCAAAAAATCGTTTGTATGGGAAATAGAAAAGGGCTGTTTTTAGGGTTTTCCCGGCAATTATTCCAATTTTTCTCACCTTTTAAACCTTCCCTGGACTTCAAGGAGTATTTCAAGACAAACATTAGCCAAATCGGTTCAGCCGTTCTGGAGTTTTAGCGAGACCAAGGAACAGCAATCCATTTTTATATATATAGATGTATAGATGTATAAATAAAATAAACAAGTGTTATAATAAACAACAACAATAATGTATCTTATTTATACAGAGGCAAGACAGGATTTAAAATCAGACAATTTTTAGTTTAACTTGTGTAACACTTCACTTATAATCTAAATACGTTAATTATGCTCATTCCACATAAATTTAATAATTTGACTTTATTTTAAACCCTCAAACTATTAGCCCGCGAGCGGTAATTTTTGATATAACAATTGGTATTTGGTAGGTACTTTTGCAAAAAGTGAACAGTATTATTATTCTGTTTGAGAAACTGAAAGTAGCAATAATAGCAAATAGAATTAATAATATGATTTTTAAAATTAAGAATATTGCAATACACTTATACTTACACTATGACTAATTCACCAAAACAAAAATATAATAGTAATTAGTAAACAAACTAAATTTTAATGAACACCCGCGCCTTCGTTTTCCTAAAAATATGTGAAATTTGAAATGTCAATGCTTTCAAACTTTTTTAGTTTACACATACTTGACAACAGACTAACAAATATGATTTTCATTGTAATAATACTGAGATATTTAGAAAATCTTAAATAGGTTGTATTCTATAATAAATATCCTTTATAAATATAATATATATAAATTTTTATGTATTTATTTTATTTATTAGTGATCACAATGTTTTAAGGGTGCTATTTCATTAGATTCCTTAATGTAGAAAAATATATAATATAAAAAATATGTTTATTTTGTTACATATCTCATAGTATAAGACAAGAAGGTTAAAAAAAATATAATTTATTTTAAAACTTAACTTGAAACTTAACGTTTTTTGGAATAAGAGGATAGTTGTTGCAAAAGTAAAAAAATGTATTTATTTGTATTTTGTGGTGACTGGTGACATTCGTTGACAGTTGTAAGAAAAATGTGAAATTACGTTATAAAATCGTACTATTACTATAATAAGGACTACCTATTTATTTTCAATAAATTAAGGGAAGAAATGTCGTACAAAATGTTACGGAACTCAATAAAATTGCTTAAAACTGGGAATCATTGCAAACTTCTGAGTGCGGTAAGGTACAGGTAATATAAATATTATTTTAATAAAAGTGTTTTATACATTTTCTTTACCACTTTAAATATGAAAATTGATTATACATACATATTCACAGGGATCCTGATGTTAGGAGTTTTATTACGATAACACAAAACTATACTGAAAATTTTCAAACAAACAAGATAAAACCTTTTATTTTAAAAACGGATGTCCGTACAATGTTTATCCAAACTCAAGAAACTCCGAACCCTAACAGCCTAAAATTCCTTCCTGGTACAAAAGTGTTGGAGCCTGGTCAAACATTGGATTTCCCTAATATAGGAGCAGCTCACTGTAGTCCTCTAGGTACTTATAATAACTTTGTATATTACTCTATAACTAATTATATTTATAGTTAGTTTTTTATCAAAAATAAAAATCACGTAGTACATCCGAAAAATATTAGTATCATTTAAATGAATACTTGCAAAATCTTATATCTCATTATAACTAATTATATTTATTATCTTCTAGCTAAAATGCTATTTCGCATTGAAGGTGTGAAAGGAGTGTTTTTTGGATCTGATTTTGTCACAATCACAAAACAAGATGATGATGTAGATTGGAAGCTGGTTAAACCTGAAGTATTTGCTACAATAATGGATTTCTTTGCTAGCGGCTTACCTGTTGTTACTGACGCTAAACCTTCGGGAGATACACGTTGGTTATAAAATTTTGTATAAGATTTTCTTCTAATACATACATTTATAGTATTAATTTATTTTTTAGAGCAATAATATTTACAGTGAATATTAATATAAATATTCTTAATATTATTATTAAATATTTTATACACTAATGCTTATTTTTTTAGAAATAAATGAAGATGATGATGAAATAGTACAAATGATAAAAGAACTGTTGGATACAAGAATCAGACCGACGGTTCAAGAAGATGGTGGTGATGTTCTGTTTGTGGACTTCAAGGATGGTGTTCTAAGACTCAAAATGCAAGGATCCTGCTCGTCATGCCCCAGCTCCATTGTGACTTTGAAAAATGGGGTTTGTTTCTCTTATATATTAGCTTCACTCTTAGTTATTTGTGTTTAATTATAGGTTTTACCAATATTATGTGTAAATATTTTATTGAGCTAGGTAAAAATTTGTGAATTGAACAAGGTTGCATATTTAAACTTACCAATAGTGCTGAGATTATTCAGCGTATTTATTGTACTTTCTTAGTATTGTTAAATAATATTATGTTAATTATACATAGGTATTTATTTTACTCTATTTGGTTCTATCATTCAGATTTGCCACTCAGAACAATACATATTTTATGAATTTAATATACATAGTTTTGTTGGACACAGTACTTTCTTAGTTTTTATCACACATTTCCATATATTCGTAGTTAAATTGAACATTTTGTGAGAAAATTGATTTTAAAAATAAAATCTTGAAAAAATTATTATCAAAGACGTATATATTTCTTGTATTATTTTGTTCTACTTGTATTATTTTGAAAATACTTGTAATCTCCATGAATTTCATATATTCTTATCTTACTACATAGAATTGAGTTAAAAACAATATAATATCTTTCAGGTCCAAAACATGATGCAGTTTTATATCCCTGAAGTTTTAGCCGTTGAACAAATAGATGACGAAGGGGACAAGCTTAGTGAAAAAGTTTTCAAAGAATTTGAGCAGCTGAAGAATAAACAGAAGAAAGAATAGTCATGTATGTAGAATCTTGTTAAGTTGTAGTTTAACACAATTATAGATGTATATTTATGTTATTTATGTAATATAAAGTTGTTAAAAAAATATTCTTTCATTAAAAACTACAACATATTGATATTCTATGTTTATATTAAAATTATTATAAAATTACTATAAAGCAAAATGTTTAAATGCTTTAAGAGATATGTCTTAGTTTACAGATTTTAAAAAGTTATAGAAATCTATATATACCTATAGTATTTGGTTAGAAAATAAAACGATTTCATTTCAAATACTTTATTCTTGCAAATGGAACTTTTTTAATGAAATTAACTATGAATAAAATATATGAATCTTAAGAAATGAATTATACTATGTATACAAGATTACAAATCTTCGTTCATTAAATTCTTACAAACATATAGCAGGACTTAAATAAGCACCATAACATAAAAATATTACTAGGTAAAGCAAAACCCAATTATAAATATAATTTTTAGATAGAAAGGTCCAGATTCAATTAAAACGTCATCAAAAATCTTTTATACAAAATATTTCCATGTGTAGCTAAAATTATACGTTTAATAAATAAGCTTCATTATTTTTTTATTCGGCAGTGTATTTTTTGTCTTATACTAAGCAAACAAAAAAAACATATTAAAGGTACCTTACTTTGTTCCTACTTTAAACTATAATACGCGTATTGTCGAGATCTTATCAATGTTATACTTCACAATTTTCAAAAATATTATGTTCTAGTGTCAATTTATTATATAATTAATGTACTTAACTTCAATACAACTTGTGCGTAGTTACAACTTAGATTCTTAACATTTAATAGCACATTTTTTAACAATTAAAGAAGGTAAGAGTGTAATAAATCAAAGCATAATTTATCGATTTCATCGTTAACAACATTCCAAATTATTTCATAATAAATACATGTTTTTCTACATTCAAAAGCTACACAAATATTACCTAAGGAATTGACCAAATGAGTAATAGAAAAACAAAAGTTGGTCTCTAGTAATAACGATTGTTATAAAATTGTGGTATTTTAAATTTTAAAATTTAAAGCCTCCATTTTAAGTTTTAACAGAACATCAATTATATGCATTGTGAAATACAGATTCTAAATCATAATAAATACGTTGGTACAATAATTGACATTTGATATAACATGTCAATGTCATTTATAAAAAAAGTAACATTAAAACAACCAACCAAGAAATACTAATTATTTTCAAATAATATCAGAAATACATAGAATCTACTAAAGCCACATATACGCATGTGTCATGTCTTTATAAAATAAATCGGAACATAAAAATAGTAAAATGTGGGCCTAACGAAAACTTGCAAAATTTATCTAATCTTACTCGCATGGTTTTTAAGACGTTAAAAGTAAAAAGCGATAACATAATTTGTTAATTAGGTAATAATTTATACAGTTAGGTACATAGGTTTACGGTTTACATAATCATTACTAGTTCACCGAACATTATAAATAATGATTAAAAGTTATTTAATCATTACTTGATCTCAATATCGGTCGTGGGCTTAAAATGATGTGAGAACAAATTTACCATAATTCTTCAAGACTTAATTAGGGTTTACACCTACAAACACAACAGGAGGGGAATAAAAACCAGTCCATGAATATGCCGGCACAGTCATCATTAGGATCGTAGGCGAGAAGTCTATGCCACTTGTATTTCTGTTCGCAACCACAATCCCCCGAACATCTTGATGTTGACTTTTTGCTGAAAATTATGATTTTGTATAAGCAAAGTCCATTATCGTAAATAAATACATAATTTTTATTATTTTTATCGTTTTCTTTAATATACAATTAGGTACACTGTAAAGATGTCTTATATATTTTTATTCCCTTATGTGACCGAATCTAATCTCAACTGTTTCCGAAAAATTAACAAGTTTTTCTGGATATACAGTTTTTTTGAAAATGCCAGTAGGTATTTCCGAAATAATTAAAAGTTAAAGTCAATTTTTACAGTATGAGGATAAATAAAAAAATAATAAAATTTTTACACTTTATCCATTTTACAGATATCACCAAATACTTAGGTACACTCAGCTATATGCATTTGTATAAAACATACCTGTCTTTTGAATAAAACTTATTAAAATTTATTAGAATTATTACATAAATCTTTATGTAATAATTTGTAGGCTATGAAATAATTCTTGTGAATATTATATATGTATATTATTTAAGGACACCATTAGGTATACTTCAATCCAACATTCTATCTCATACTGACCTTTAGTATGAACATCGCGGCAACATTGTTGCATTGAGTCACAGTTTTTACGTAAACTAAATTTTCAATCAGGTTTAAAAGAGAAAGTCTAAACGAGATATCCAGAAGCACTTTAAACAAGACAAAATTTTACTATTGTTATTAGTAAAACCTAGAAATAACTTGATGTACGTGTGAATACATTTTTCATAGTAGTTTAAATGAGTTTTTATAATATTTATTTATTTTAAACTGATTATTGACTGATAAAATGAAATTTCCATAGACAACTTTCATCACATTTGTCAAAACTGCATTCCAAACGATATAATATGTAATTGTAATCAAGTCAAATCCATAAAGATTTCGAAATTGGAACGCTCAAATGTCATTTCTGCTTAATTATCTGTATTTTAGTTAATTATACAATTCGTCATGATAAAGATGTATTATATAATATTTTTGATATGTCGGATTACTTAATTCGCTTGTTTTGAAATTAAATATTTACATAAGTGGCTTATGCATACTACGAAATGGAAAAGTCAATGTGGACGATGTAGTAATTTGTTTCAAGTTTTAACCTTTAAACCATTGGCACTCCATTTAGTTGTTCGAATCACCGAAATCTAAGAGTTTAAATTTAATAAATTCGAACAAAATCGATAATCCTTTAATTAAAAAGCCACTTTACGTATAAACTATCAAGTAAAAGGAATACTTATTGTAAATTTTAAATAATTTGTGTGTAAAATATAAAGGACATTGAACTTTAATAACCTGCAAACCTCCTGGTGTATGGCCTGTTCGAAGTGCATCGTGTTAACAATCGCTCGAACTTTCCTCGCAGAGTTCAAAGCCCAGTACGGGGTCATTATTTCAGTTTTACTTTCACAAGCATCTATCCTGGAATTTTGATAATAAAACCATTATATTAATTACCTTTATAACCAAAGTGTGAAAAATATTACATTTTAAATTAGAATATAGAAAAATATTTAAAAGTTATGTTATTAGCTTTGTATTAAGAATTCGTAAACCTTATATTGTTTGAACCTTCGCCATATACGTGTTACAAAATAAATAAAAATCTCACCTTCCTGTGTTATTAACCGGTTGTGTATCTGGTAGTTTCGGTTTGGTCTGTCTTATATGTCGGAAATAGGAGTCCCCGGAGTGCATATCGGGAACCCCTGGCGCCCTTCTCACTCTATTTCCGCCCGGAACCGTGAATGAACCGTACATTCGCTTTATTAAAGCTTTGTTTTCATCTATAAATGTTTCGATCTTATCTCTGAAAAATCGAAAAGATGATGATATTCATTAATGCCATATAATACACAACAAAATTGAAATTATTTTTAAAGTAAATTAATCGAATGAAATTATTTTTAAAGTAAATTAATCGAATACTTTCATTAAGTACAATAAAACAATCTTTTGGAGTCTCTTAAATGTTAGTTTCATTTAAATGAGTTCTCATGAAAATCTTAGATCTCACTTTTGGAGTCTCTCCTGCTTTATTTAAGAACATATCAATAAATTAAACCCTTTGTAACTTGGTTGATGATCGTGTTTAAAATTTTGCAAGGAAATGAAAAAAGTCAGTAATTAAGTCAGTCAGTCTAAGTTTAACCGAACCTTCAACCTTAGCAACAGTCCATGCCGGAAAAATTTAATTCTTGATTATAAATATTTAAAAAATTCTATTAAATACTTGAATCCAGTGTACATTATAACGCAATATAGAAGTATTTAACGGTTAACCATATAAGGTTACCATATCATTTTTAAAACAACTGTATTCAGTCACATTAATAAAACAAATGTTATTAATTATTATACTACACGAGACGTATGATAAAATACTCCCGTTTCGTCTGCCCGATATAACGATTGCATTGGAATGTCTATTAAAATTCAGTGTTATAAATCGCCTTAAAACCATAAGTAGTTTCATTCGAATGTGTACTCGCGAAAATCTCTATCTTAAAAGAATATTCCAGAAGCCTAACTTGGCCGGTAATGTTAAGTATGGCTTTTATATTATAAGTGTCTAAAAGTGTTATTAACCGGTAGCACTGTTTTGTTGTGATGTAGTCCAAGGATAGCGTGGACGCAGTTTTCAAAATTAAATCCTATAATAAATAATTCTTTCTCCCATGACTAAGACACTAATAAAAATTTTATACTTAGGGAGACGATTGTTGATAATGGTCAATGTCCCAGATAATTTTTTCAAAGGGCTTTTTGTTATTAACGTCAGAAGAAGAGTAAGTAAACTTGTTATAAAGCCTTATATCACCTTTTGTGGTGAAACAGCAAAAATGGTACTCTCATTTTTTACTCATGAAGAGAAGATAGGTATAAAATTTTAATGGAACAGTGATTTTAATGGAATAGTATTTTCCTATTTATACGTGCCTTACTTTTACATTTCTAATGAAATGGATACAATTAACTCAACAACTTATACAAAGTTTTTAATTATTAAATAAGTCATGTAATCGGTTAATGATCGGCCGCGGCGTCTTAACACGCGATTTAAAACAAGAGTTAAGTCTGTCACTATTGAACAGAAATCAATAAGTATCTAAATATAAACAATGTTCTAACCTTGTTTGTATTATTCATATAATCAGCTGTAACCAAAAGGAAGACACATTTACACCTACAGATGTAAATGAATTGACACAATACTCACAAAGGATAGGTGTTGCCAGCGGTTGGACAATAGAGTTGAAAGTTTCTTTTGACGCACGGCACTCCTCTAATCACTTGACCTTGGAGCTCGTACCCCAAGGCTAGAGACAGGGCGGTCCACAGGATCTTAAAAATATTAACAATAACATATAGTTTACTAGATTTAATATCACGAGCACCTTGACGTTAGCACTACAACAAAAGATAGAAAAAATCACGACTATATTAGTATATATCAGACATATTATGTAGTCCACACAAATGAAGATATTTTGAAGAACATTTAATTTAATGCAATGCATTAAAGTTAAAATATCAAAGTTGATTATGTTGAAAAGAGATTCATTAAAATAAGACCAATGTTTCTAACAATAGAATAGAATATTAACAAGATAATTAAACGCATATAATTCTCAACGTACAAGAGGTTCTACAACTATATTTCCCTTTATAATATTGATTAAGTCAAGATAAGTCAGTTCACGTACTTATTTGATATATCCATTCCTATTCAACTATCCGATGACAATATTTATTTTTTAGAATATAATCTCAGTAAACTGCGTTGAATATACATATATTGAAACGCATAAAATGTGAAAATTGTTCTGTTTTATTATTTACCTTATACGTGAATTGAAAAATTAAATGATTTTAACATAGCAGTAAGTGCTACTATTAACATGTAGAATTATTATATTACATTCTTCACTTCAATCAATAATTTTTGATATATATAACTTAGGTTACTTACATTTATCTTGAAGAATCCCATAATAATAGATTTAATTATCACGTCCGAGTTGTTTAAGTCTGTGTTAAAGTGTGCTAATTGTGTAAACGAATTTTTAAACAAGTAGATTGTACAAAAAAGACGCTATTCGCGATACGCCGTTGTGAACAGTGACTGAATCCTAAGATACATCCGGAGATATTAGCAGCTTGAGTCGAAATATATGAACACGACCGTGACTTTGTCTGACAATATTCAGTAGGAAAACTCGTTAAATAAATAGTTTAAAAATATTTATAATTAAATAAAAAAAGGTATACCTACTTATGTAGGTACATATATTAAAAGGATATTGTATGCTTTTAATACGACCGAAACTATTTGAACAATTAAATTTCTTATAGGTATATAAATTATATGCATAGACAACTTTAAGGTTGTATATGTATGTACATATTTATATGTAAATATAATATATACGGATATGTATATAAATCGGTACAATCATACCTCGCTCTTTATCACACGAAGAATCAGTACATTGTGGTGGAAACGTTCGGTGAGATACAATGCTGTTAAGTGAATAAAAGGGTATATATTTAAAACAATTTAAATTCGACTCGCTTTTATAGATTTTTAAATGATTAACACGCACACACACGCACAAACACACGCATTTATAAAGCGATTTTTATCAAAATATTATTAATAGTAAATTAAAGTTAAATTCGAAGAGCTTAACTCCAGTTACGAGTATAATACATTTACCCACACATATGTATAATACATATTATATTAAGTAGTCAGTGGTGGCCTAATGGTTAGGGGGTCCGCCTCTCGTCACCGAGGTCGCGGGTTCGATCCTGGCCCGAGCAAGTTCCAATGTGATTTTTCCGAGTCATATGTACTTTCTAAGAGTATTTAGACATCACTGATTAATGCAATCCCAAAAAGAGGGTTGATGTCAGGCAGGCGGCCGGTCGTAAAAACAATTAGCCAAAACTATTCACAACATGTAAGGCAGACCCTGGCTATGGCCAGGAAATTGCCAGGTAGGTAGAAGTGATAGATGTATGTTTATTTTATTATTATAATAAAATATTACGCAATAATATTTAAACTGGATCATCATTAATTAAGCAAGCGATCTATTTGGCAATTCAAATCCATTCTCAATTTATTGCATCCAAGTGTGTCAATAACCTTGCTTAAATAAATTTACAAATATTTGTATGCAAAAAAAACTCAGATTGCGGTTCATCATTCTGAGTCTGTGTATTAATAGAAATCGTTGCTCAAACTTCAAATCGACTACATGACTTCTATTGCTCAATATTGGATGATATTGCTTGATAATTCGAGTCTTTATATTGTTTTATCTAGAAAATGCATAAAATAAAGCTAGTTATAATAATCCTACACACGTATAGTTCGGAGAAAACATATAATAATATTATAAATAATTTATAACGTACGCGAACTTGCAGGAAAGATACTTATGGAGTAACTTAGGAAACAGCTTGTTTATTTAATATTGACAACTAGACTTAGATTCTAATATTTACTAAGAATGCATAGAAATATACTTGTTGGCAGTTAATGGAAGCTTTTAAAGTGACAATCTCAGAATATTAAAGGTAAGTGATAGTATCTATTGTATTATTTAGGTGCCATTATACTGATAAAACTGTATTAAAACTTTTTTAATCTATTAAGAACCGTATACCTTTTACCTAATAGCATTAAATATTCCGGACATGATTTTTGAATAGACAAAACTCAGAATAATTGATTAAGAGTAACATTTTTAAAGTTTAACTATGGGAATAAAACAGAGTTATGTACATAAAGAAACGTATGATAGGTACATTAAAACACAATTTTACATATGAAAAGTTGACATGTGTTGAAAAATGTTCAAATAAATTAATGAGTAATAAAGTTATACCATGAACGAGTAGTTATACTAAACTGTAGAAGTCGATTTCAATAACTAATTAGTATTTTAAATGCATGTCTACTGCGGTTTTGCGAATCATCGAACAACGTACTAAATTAAATCAAAGTTGCTACCTTATTTATAATTCTATGATACTCTATTATAGGATTAATGCAAGAAAACTTTAGGGTTCATTTTTGAATAATACTATATATTTCATAAAAATAGAGGCCTATTCAAACCACGTAAATGTTCTCAGAAATAAGATGCTAGTGACTTAAATAGGTTCGTTTACACCGATTGTTATTTGAATAAAATTATATAAGCAATTCAAACTGAGGATAAATTTTAGCGATCTCATTTGAAATTCACAAAAATATTTGTATGTGTTTTTTCTATTAAGCACTTCCTTATGAATAGTATTTTATTACATTTATACCTTTAACACGATCTCCGCAAATTATCTGATTCGAATGGGCGTGCATTCTTACATTTTAATGATCTATTTGATATAATCCCCGTTTGTTGATTTTAAATATCTAACAGAAATATTTTGTATGAAACAGTATAAAATTGTACTATACATATAGACTAAAATTTATTTCAAATTTTTGCCTTTGTAAGAAAAGAAGACAGTAGCTACCTTTTTCCCGAGTGACTAGATCCCAAGCAATGTTGTGACAGAAACGGCGGTTAAATGGATATTAGAAAACTAATATTTACTAATTTAACTTTCTAAGAAAACTTTATTGTGATCACATTAAATTTTTTTCTTTATTTAATGCTTTGTGGTCAGACTGTATTAAAAAGATATACTATAATACATACATATATAAAAATATTTAGTTATTAAGTACCTAGTGTTGCGTTAATATAGTTCAAGGTTTGCAAAAAAGACGTTTTTACGTGAGTAAATATTTTGATATATTTACAATCTGAATAAGGTAAGCTCCTTGGCTTCGAGCAAGGTGAATGTTCCTGTTGCACTAAAAATGGCCGTGTTACATAAATCACTGACATGGTAAATATAACTCAAATGTTTTCGCCTTCATTATATATTATGGTTATCTTTATTGTTATTTAAACCTCGATTTCTTTACATAGAGTTCAACATTGTGCTTAAACTTTAAAGTCACTTCGTAGCCCACATGACATTGACAAAATTAACCATGCTCTATATGGGAGGTCTTATATTATTTGTTTATTTCGTCACTAGATGGCGCTGTTTGTATATCAAGTAAACTTCTGTACACAGCTCTGCTCTCGTTTACTTTTGTTAATTGACAGTGTTTCATTTCAGATTATTAAGTTAATGGTTTTCGTTAATTCCATATCACATTGCTATAACTAACATTGTATTCCGTTTTTGATATTACTGAAGAATGGTTTTAGTTTTTAAAGTATTTCGACTATTTAAAATCCGATTAATCCGATTTCCGATAAAATTTCCGATTAATCCGATGGATACATTAAAGAATAAAACCTTAAAAACAATAAATAATTACAACAGATACGTCCTAGTTACCTTTATTATAACAAAAAAAGTCAGAAAGCAAATGACAGTTACTTATTCGTCATATCACTGCATTACAATTATATCATGCCGACATTCTTAATGGGATCGTAACGTACAGAATTTATTTATTACTGTTCTTGACTATAATTTACATATTATTATCGCGGCGGCTAGCTTTTGCAAAACAGTATGACACAAGCCGCTCGCATTCTACTCAAAAGTAACCCACGCCTCTCCCATGAGTAATACTCATATTGACATTGTCACAGAGATTGTTACGTATTACGAAACTTTAAAAATTAAACGCCTTTATTCTAATTAAGTTTTTATTACTCAAGTTTCTGTATAACAGCGGAAAATTACGTTTATATGGACTTTTTGTGATACCTTTGTTTCTTTGTTCTACGCCAATTTAATTTGACATTTTTTTTTATTGAGGCTGTCTATTTTGTGCCATTTCACACTAAATTAATAATTTCCGGAGACCAAGTTATAATGGTTAGCAGTGTCTTGTCATGTTTTTTTGAATATAAGGACTTCAAGAGTTGAAAAAGTTTACCGAACTAGTAATAAATATAAATATCAGTTTCCAATATGAAACTCCACAAATATCGTAATTATTTTCTCTTCATACTGCACAACGATTAGAAAAAAAATCTAGAAAGTTCGAAAACATTACAAAATCAAACTAAGGCCATTTGAATTGATTGACCTGTAGTACTTTATAATTCTAAATTATGAGGTTTTTAGATATATGATAGATAAAGCAAGCTGCATACTAAGGAAGTAATAAAGAAATTTAAATTCGATATTTAATTAAGTATGTAGTACTTGTTATTATTTCTTTATCTACTATCGTTCATTTCCTGTGACTACGCGCTTGTTATTTTGCAATTGTCCGCCATGTTCATGAATGGTTGTACCTATGAATCATGTTTTGCTCTTGTTTCTTTTACGCCTACTTCACCATACAAGGCCTAACCGGCCGAAACGATTCAGATACATAAATTATTATTCATAATAATTTAATATACAAAGTTTACAAATTGCATTTTATAATGAACGGAATATTTTCATTAATTCCATTCATAATTTAGCATGAAATTATTTTGGGGTCTGTGCATTTAAATCTGAATATTTCGGAGCAATGAAGGAAAAATATTCGTGCTTTAAAATTTTTGTCTATGCTTTCGAAGTGAAAATTTTCTTTATAATCTGAGACATATTATAGCAGTTCATAAATATTGATGAGTCTGCTATTAAAATAATATATGTTGTCTTGTATTTGTGACGAAAATTCTTTTACGTGAAACAATACACTGTTAAAGCAATTCCTTAACCAAAATATTGACCGATTAAAGAAAGTTTTACTATGGGTTCAAATATATTGTAGTTACACCATAATGTATTTGAAGTCACTTAGTTACAAATACTACTTATAAATCATAAAATGTATGAGCCTTTATATTTAACCTCCTCCGAGTACTTACAATTTATGAGATAAAGCCATAAACAAGTATATTATCGTTTTTATTAGGTCACTTGAACTAATATGTTACTCATAACTCATAAGGAATAATTACTCCTGACTCTATACTTATGTACGCTTCATTATATAGAATTTACTTTGAAGACACTAAATCAAAGCCATATTTCGAAATAGACTCACATTTCTAGTAGAAAATATAGAGGAATACAGAACATAATTTATCGTTTTTATTATATCAGATCCATTATATAAGGAAGAAAACTGGATAACACTTACTTAATACTTATTACTACTTTATATTTTATTAAAATTAACAAATTTTAAGCTTCCTTATATTAAAATTTTAATACTATAATCTTAAATATGTCTGTCAAATGTTAAGAAAACAAAACCTAGACAAAAGCATCATAACCTTCTATATTGATAATCATTATGCTCACATTACAAATATCGTAAAGCGACGTTGTTCTACGAGTGTTTGTATGGCCTGTTTCCCTACTTTAATGATTTTCATTATAATTATTCCCTACAAACGAAAACAAATAAAATATGTATAAAATTTTAAAGCTATTACGTTGTATTCTATATTTAAGTGAGATGAAATTAGGTAAATATTAATTACTTACAGGTATTTGGTAAAATGATCCATTGTTGACTGTGGGATAGGAGGTAAGGGGAACAACAGGAACGGTTCCGTTACGTAATAATATCGGCCCTTGCAGCGGGGTCACTGCTTGTCCTACATCTGTAAAAAGATTAATATGTTTATAATTACAAAATAAATGCGCCAGATTATGTTATTTGTATAAAATTTTTAATTTATTTAACCTTCGCATTCTCGCACGTTGGTCTGACAGACCGATAAGTCTAGTTTAAGTTGGGTTAGTTTTTAACGAAAGTTTTAACTATTGAAATGGTGTAAACAATAAAAATAATTTATTGAAATACATTTTAAGGTATGTGCAATTTATTTCAAAGTATAATAGGTTGAATAATTATTATTTCAGATATAAAAATCTTCATCATTTTATGGAGGTAGCCTACTGTTGTATAAAATGGTACCAATCTTAGCAGAGGGCCGTGATGGTAATTACAGCAAAATGTAATCTTAAAAATTCCATATTAATTTAATAGCTAAGCTATGTTTTTAAATTGCTTACATATGCCTCCAGGGTAGATGCACATAAATTTTACCATCCGATATATTACATATATATTTTTATCGTAATTGAAACACATTAAAAGAAAAACCAAGGTTGTAAAATTTTATACATTTATAAAATATATGTATCTTAGCTACTGCAATATTACGAAATGATTTGGATGTTTTGCATCGATGCGATTATGTAAAAATAAAATTACGAAATATTACCAAATATTATTTGAATAGACAAAATAGATCACAAACATCTAGATGGTCAGTATTCGTTTATTTTCTGACATTTCAAATAGAAATACTATATTTCGTAAGCTAGGTGCGACATATTCGGGTCGCAGGTTGTGCAAGATTTGTCCTTGTTAAGGACTACATATCATTATTCAATAGGATTTAAGTTGAAGTTCACTGTATTCATTTATTATATTTTTTTATGAGTTTTTTTAAATGATTAATTAAAAATCACTATGATTTCTTCTGTTGTAAGAATTTAAAATTACACCAATTCACGAGCACCTTATAACAATTATATTAAAAATTAATTCTGTCTTGAATTAAATATGCATGGAGCAGGAGAACTATAATCTTTAATAAATACTTCATTTTACATACTTTTACACATATAGGATATTTTTAATTTTCTATGGTACGTATTTAATTAAAATTTTAATGGTTTAAAGGAGGGTTGTATTATATATTTAAATTGAGATCATATTAAATAAATGTATACTTACATTCATTAATATTTATTTACAGTTTCATTTATAACAAATCTATAGAAGTTTATCTGATTCATTAATTCGGTAATCACCTATGTATTGTCAGAAGTTTCGCTTCGTTACTTTCTTAATAGGCGTAACGAATCAGTGAAATTCCGTATTGTATGTACAGTCAAGGCAAAAACTAATTGATAGTACAATAATACATTTGTCAAAAATAATTATCTACCGAAGATTACAACAAGATTACTCAACATAGCTTTCATAACAACGTTTAGTCGTTCTGTGACTAACACGTTATAAATTTGTATTTTATTCTCAAAAATAATTCTCACCACATATAAAGTTACTATGCATTGTGTTTAAATACGTATTTATTTACTGAAGTGTTTAAGACTCATTTTGTTGTTGTGGTGACATGTATAATCTTTAAAATGTTTTATAACCAACCGTCTTTGTAAATTCTAAATAGTTTTTAATTACTGAACCTTAACCTCTTCAGTATAGATAATTTGTTGTGACATATAACACATCGAAGTCACGAAGGCTACTGTTGGTAACTGTTTAAAATTTTATCAGTTATTCGTAAAATAAAAACATGTTACTTACCTGAGATTTAAGAATGAGGAATAATAAAATAGTATATAAATTGGAATAGTTCATGTCTTTTAACTTCGTTATATTAAAAAAATTAAGTTTCATATTTAAGATTAACACATACGAGTATAAATCCAAATATTTTTATATCAATAATAAATATCGCCAAAAGAATAAACGCATGATAATATTCTAATATATTTTAAATATACAGTGAGCGTCGAAGAAGTCGTGGTTTGAACTTTACATGACCTAGCTACCGATACAACTGGTCAATGCCTCTCATATTTCTACATGACCACTAATTGGCATATTTATAAAGCATGTACCAAATATTAGAACTAAGTAATTAATAGCAACAAAATATTCACTTACCCCATTTAAATGTTAATAACAATTTAACGGTAGTGAGTAAAAGTGACATCAAAGTAATTTAAAACGCGCTTAATACATTTTTACAACAAAATCTGTAGGTATTATTTCCAAGACATAACATAATTGGCAATAAAAATATGAGGAAATATTTCCCCCTTTTATTTAATTTTCCGTTATCTTTTACGGTTTTTTTACTATTATTTGTTTTACATATGCTATAAATTTTTTGTATTAGGTATGTAAAAATTACTTCACCGCTATTTCTATTATGAAGACACTGTTATTTTAATAACTATATTATAAAAGTTATTGAAGTATATGTAACAATTAAAAATTCTTTAGAATGCATAGTATCATAAATAATGCTTAAATATTACATAATTAACTTGGACGGATGAGGTAATTGTTTAACGCGCGTTAGATAGGAGCCCCCTAACCTACAAGGTCGCAAGTCCCAGGCACTGTTGAAGCTCCTCTCTCTGCAACACGATGGACCCGGTACCCGCACGGTGAATCCATGGAATGTAGAGAACTTTCGCGTCTATTATATATTAGACATAAGTCATTAAGTAACATTTTGTTATGTTGATTTTACTATAAGGACGTTGTCTTTTACGATAAATAAATTATACTTATCAACAAAAAAAAGGATAATTTAATATAAAAAAAACTAATTTTTATATCTTACTTACATCGATTAACAAACATCTTATACTTTTCACACAAAGTATATAATCAATTCACTATTTTTGTTACTTAATGTTTTTTGGGTTAATTTTTTACGACTACATTTGCCCCGAACATTCCTTGTACAATAATTAAAAATTCAAAGTTTGTAGGTCTGTTTACTTTGATATAAATTTCTATAAAACAATTACATATTTTGAATTATTGATTTTTACCACCTCATCCAGTAATGAATCTGTTGTAAAATCAGAATAAGAAATTTGAAATTACCTACCTTAATCAATATACGAAATATGGACAATGTTTAAAGCGATTTATTTTTAATAGTATAAAAGTCTTAGAATTCTTCACTCAATTTGAATGCTTTATAAAATAATAAATCTATTGTAAAAAAAAAATCATCCCCGCAGTCAAGAACTAATTAGACCCAATACTTCTTGTATTTAACCTAATAGCCAATTTTATTTTGAGGGATATAATAAATACATATATAGTTAAGTCAACTTTAAACTCGTGATATAAAATGTATCTGACATTAATTAATATTCCCAAATAGTGGAATAAAATTTTTATGTCGTATATATTCGATTAGATTGTTGCAGGTAAATTGCAAAACTAGTAACACTAGTTAAAACCGTCTCTTGGTGTGAAGTTTCTGTGATGAGTCATAAGTAAAAGGCGTACATGCAGCAAAGAATCGTGACACGAAGTTTAATATAATGCAGGACATCTTTATTTCTATTAAATAACTCTGTAAAGGCAGAGAATATATATTAAATAGTTAACATTCATCACAAGTGTGTATACTTCATTTGTGTTTTATTATTTAAATAATACGATTTAAATAAGTTAAAGGAAAAATTGTGAAACCATAAGTAATAAATATTTGTGAGTTATGTATTTATAGAAATGTTCTATTACTAAGACATACAATTTCTTGGACAATTGATTAGTGTTTTAGATTTTGCAATGAATTGTGATATTATATATATTTTTATATGTTCCGTCTTAATGAGATCTAAAACTTTTAAGAGTATTCTTTTAAATATGTATAACTAATATTTTCGAATAATAACTCTTTCCTTATTAATTTAAACAACACACTCCCGATTTTTCGGTTACTTTTGCAACAACCCTGATCAAGTTGAAAACGCGTAGTAATCCGATAATATTAGTTTTATTTTTATGTGTTCTGTTTTCTATCAAATTTTGCATTATATAGTAGCATTTAGTTCAGACTACTTATATGTGTTAATGTCGTAAACAAGTTAACATGAACTAAAAATCATAATTTTACTTTTATTGATAGATCTTATGATCTAATTAAAATAATGAGACCTGAACAGTAGCCCTACTAAGAGGAAAAGACGAAGTTAATTAACTATGATATCTTTCATATAAATTAATATCTTGATGCCTCTCTCAGCTACTCCTCTTAAATTTTGTTGCTATATATATGTTTTTAATTTTTTTATAAATTATCTGATCACTTCACAATCTCAGACTCTTACATTTCATCTAAATAGATTTTGATTCTCATCAGTTTTTCTGTTCTCGTTTATAATAATTCAATATTGAATAAGTAATTTATGAGTATTTAATACTTTTTATTGCTTAAAAAAACAATAAACATTTTATATCACAGCATGAAGAATGCCATTTTTTATTTTCAATGTAACCAGTGACACTTATAGCACCAAGACGAATTAACAATTTGAAATATTTGTAATTATTAAGAGAATTTTTTAATTAGACGATGACATAGTAATTTTCTCATACTATCTATATGTAGGTTATAAACATGATTTATTTTATACTCCACTTTCGGATAAAATATACAAAATCTAAGGTCTTAAATAACCGTAATACACTTAAAAACTTTATGACACTATTTGTTTAATTTATTCTTAGTTTTTTTTTATTATTATGCTAGCACTGTCAGTGATAATGTTCCATTAACATATATTTTTTATTCAAAATTTTTTTACTGTTGGACTTCAAATGTGATTTGCATTAGCAAAGTAAAAGTAATTATTAACTTATATTTAAATTTTTAATAACCTTACATAAAATGTTTCATTTTGGTAAAAGATTAAAGTATTTTTTTACGTGAGAAAAAACAAATCAGTATTTAATTGCTGTTTATGTCACTTGAAATTACAATGAAGAAAAAACGAATTGATTTTAAAGCTCCATCAATTCACTTAATACCAAGGAAATGTCTAAAAATTTACCCGTTACAATTTACTAATTAATTAATTTACCGATTTCACCTACTGTACCAATTTCTACAGAGCAAACGCATATCAAACAAACAAACCTAATAATCATATTACTCAATGATGAGTACTAAACGAGATATTCCGCCAAATGTTTTTATCTATGCTTTGTATGAAGAAAAATTGCCGTTAATTCATAAAAGTTGGAAAAGTACATTTGATTGTTAATAAGTAATTAAGCAATAATTTCAAATGAAACGTTTATTAAACTTCACGTATATTATATCCTAGCATTTACCATGTAAAAACTTCTGTCTAGAAATAACAGAATATTTTTAAATGAGTAAAAATCATAAATTATCCGATAATAGATTCACGTATAACTTTTATTACACATGCACCAAATTTTAAAACGTATGAAAAGAGAACACAAAAAGCTTATAATATCTTTAAAGTTTTACTTATGGTATCGAAATACTTCTTCTCCTCTTTTTAAGTACATTATAGTTGATACATAAAGTTTATTATCTCGTTAGTAAGTTAAATTATGTACACAACAAATTAAATTTCCTATACCTAGGTAATAAATCAAAATTCTTAACTTAATTATTAAGAAAACATTCATATTTTTCCATGTATACAATTCATTTGTGACCTTCTCGTAAAATGTGAATACTTCAATAGTAAGCTTACTTTTTAACTTTTAAATAAATTACGTAATAACTTTTTGCAAGTTTTTTATCTCCGCGAATCTTTTTTTGGGTGGCGTCTGTCATTAAGCAATATTTTTCTTATATTATTAATTTGTTTATATTACTGATGATTACATTGGATTTATAAAACAGCGTACGTTAAATAAATATATAATTATATTTAATTGGTTACAGTGTACTCAAGATGTTGTCTAAAAGCAAATAAAATTTTGAATTTTCTTACTACGCTGTGATCGTATTGAGGTGTTTGAACCCGTTTAGCTCTTCGATTTAAATTCGTGCTAGGCCAGTGCCTACAACTGATTTGGTTTTCAAACACCGAACACAAAGAAACAGGCCTAACGATAGTCACAAACTAAGGTCGGTATTTGAAAGGGCCCTGGTCATACAATATTGGTAGTGATCATTAGATCTTTATTATTCATTTAATTGAAACTGTAACACAGCCAATATATAAAATAAAGGACTGTACGTTAGTGCTTTGAAAAAGCAAAATATACTATGTTTTGTTGTAAAATGTTACAAATAATATTTATTAAACATAACAAGGTAAATTGTATACACCAGTATAAAGCTTACCTCTAAATACAATAATATGAAACAAAATTTAAATTCTTGTGCAACGACAATGCAATAACTCTTTTCCTTATGTTCTTATTATTATTTTGCATTATTTTATAAAAATACTACGTGTGTTAAATCAAGAGAATACAAAAAGGAAAACACGTGCTCTACGATAGTATTTGAGTAGGATTGATTATTTATTAAAATAATGGTGCGTTCTCTAGTGTACATGGTGTTTCTTTATAAAATATCACAGATTTTACTCTTAATTACAAAATCTCCATTAATTATTATGAAAGTATTTGAGTAAACACAAAATTATTAATGTCAACTTATATTTTATAATTATCGACACCAAAGATTTATATGAGTAATTAACTAAGTAAAAAATTGAAAAGAAGTTTACTGTTTAAAGTTAAGTAAGTAAAAAATAAGTATTACGGTAATAAGATTGATTAAACGAATATATGGAGGAGTTTCATCTTTCAAATGTTTTGCTTTATAAAAAAATGCTTAAAATTTTAGACATTTTCATAATCTGTGATTACCTTTGTCCTTGATAAGATGCTAACAAAAATACATGACAATAAGGAACCAAAACTTAAATGTTCCAAATAAAAATTGTTACTCTGAGAAAACTTGCTGCACCCATCAAGTGTAGATATATTTTAAGTGAACGTATTTTGTATATTTATTCAATAATTAGAAGCAGAATCTACTGACGAGTGAATCTTATCGTGAAAGTAACGTAAAAGCGGTTTCTTACGGCCTTATGAAAGTGAAACCAAGGTTGCTGTGAAGACCCACGCAATATTCACGTAAACATGTATGTTAATAGCGTGTGGGGTCAAACTCTTATGCAATTCCTAAATAAATTTGTCTATATTTCAATAAATATTACCACGCTCACCTGATATTCGGATGAGATTTAGTGTTAGAGCTATCGCATTTATCGCATTTCTGAATATCGGACTGATGATTATCGTTGAATATACATAGTCTCAACGTATTGTCGATATTATGTATCGTAAGATTATACGTTTTACAAATGATCTATATTATCATTTCGACATTCATTGTCTCATTCGATCAATCTAACAATGAGGGAAACTCTATTTTTACAGAACAATTTTTGAACTCTTAACTTCTGTTACAATGATTTCTTTTGTTTTAAAAAATTAATTAATTTATAATTACAAAAAGTCTCTTTTATTTTTTTGAGAAAAAAATTGATATTTGAATGGAAAAATATATGTATCCATTCATTAGAAAATTATTAAATCATACAATCTTAGAATACTTTTCAACGTATGCCACAATCAACAATTTAATACTTATTCAGTATGTATCTACTAAGCATTAGCCTCTATACACGTTAATTAGCAATTAATATCAGAGACATACTTTTATAACGTTTTGTGTTGTGTTGAGTAATAACCGCTATTATCATAGAATCTGCTGTGATTAGTGTTGTAAAGTCAACGACACGACGTATCGCTTTTCATCATAATACTCAGTAATAATGTACTTCTAACTACACGAACGCAAATACTAATAAGTCCCAAGCCAACATGACAGAACAGTTTGTCTCTTATTTTAGTTACTCACGAGTCAGTGTTAAGCGACCGAAGGCCTTTCATACAAGGGTCAATATAAAAGCGTAAGCGATCAATCTCGTGACCTTGGTTTTATAAAACGATCAATCAATTCAATGTGGTTAATAACATGCCAAGAATTTACTGTTATTAGTAATAAAATAACAATTTTCGCTCTCATTCCTTATCTTACGCCGTGCCTTAAGGCTAGTTGTTGCTGATAGTGGAAGTAATTGGACCGATCGTGCCTTTTCAATGTCTTTTAGGTACCTATTCTAACCATTTTGCAGATAATAATCTAATTGTAACATAGTCTAACAATTTATTTCAATCAATGCTTATTCCAGCATACAAGCAAGCGCAAAAAGTGTTGCATGTAATAAACCTAATTAACATTGACTTGAATCGACTTGGATACTGTTGAGTAATGAATAATGCTTTGCTAAATAAATGTCCTCACAATTGTCCTTAATGTATGAGGATAAACATGTTCACTGTTCAGTCTGATTTTTCATTTCTTTATTAAAATATATCGGATGCAATTAAGACAAAAAATGTGTTAAATTATTACCTGAACCAGGAACATCTTCATAGTAATCGTCGTCGTAATCCAAAATAGCGTGCAATTGAGTTTTGCCGCCCGAGCCTCCTGTTTCCACTTTAGTAAAACCTCGAGGACGGTCCGGAGGTAACTGTGTATTGGTATTGCTACCACTAGTGTTAGACCCAGCATCAGTTGGCTTTCGAGAATTTTGAGGTGACGTTGTTATACTCGGAACATTAGTATTTGTATTTTGGTTTGGTATATTCTCAAACCTTCGACTAGATAAAGGACTCTGCGTTGAAGCTGGTGCGTAAGGTAGGTCCACGTATCCCGGATTGTAAGTGGCAAGATTTGGCATATTTTTATCAGTTCTTTTTTGTTCGTAATCATAGTCACCAGTTGGATCATGTACGTACTGTCCATTATTATCGTACTGAGAATTTATATCATGAACTCGTTGGTTCTCTATTGGAATGCCAAGCCTTGTATTTTGTTGATAGATTTGTGAGTGTAGTGGACTATTGAAAGGATTCTGAGGTATGTTATCTTGTCGTGGATAATGCGTGAATTGATTTGGTGGCGGAAGGTATGCAGTACCAGCACGTTTTCGAACTTTAGACTTTCTGTGCTGTTGTAAATTAGGGGGTGTGAATGGTTCGTTGCCACCGTAATGAGGGGCATATCCAGCCTGTTGTTCTTCGGGGGAGTATAGCAGATCATCCAGATCTACTCGGAAAGGAGCTGCGGTTGTTGGTGGGAGTGCCGGAGTGGCAACACCGCTAGTAGCCACAGTAAAGTTTGCCAGAGCCATCGTTTAATATTCACAATATTCACTCGACATTGCCTCAAATGTCAACTCAAATGTTGATGTGCTATTACGGCCACACTTGCATAATAATGTAACTTGCGTTGGGCAGTCAGCTGCACGAACGTCTTCTCATTGTATAACAGAAACACTACACATCCACTGTATCACTATTTCACTCTCCGTCACTGGAACCACCTTTACCTAGAATGGAATATTTATTCATTAAAACAAATATGTAGAATACTTAAACAAAATGGACAATAAATTACAATACAAAGTTATTTAACATAGAACTAGTGATGTGTGTTTAAATTAAAACAGTTTATGTCCTTGCAGACAAAGGTTTATAGCCGGGTTTCCCTCGTTTCGTGATATCCTTGCCACTTTATAAATGGCAATCGGATTCAAAGGCACAAGTCGTGATCAACTAACATTTATTGCAGATGCTTTTGGACCCGAAATATGGGAAAACCGATAGTGTGGATGTCATGTTTAATTGTCCTTGTATAATTCATAGACTATAAAACTTGCGCTATTCAAATTTCATTCTTACTAACAATACATTGTCCAAACAAAGACCTACGCAATAATTTATTTTGTCCAACCCATATATGTAAATAAGCATGTTTATATATTTTTGTAATATATACGATAAAATGTAACAAAAGACGATATTTATACGAACTAAATTTTTATTCAGGTCGGATCGACCTCGCACGTCTGAGTGATACTATCACCGAAGAGCATCAAGTTCACGACAAAAAAAAACATTTTTATGAAATGTCTGAATAAAGTTTTTTTTATATTTAAGATTATACTACTGTCTACACGAAACCTAAAATAGATAAGATGGATTTGATATCTTGGCCTTATTCCTTACAGACTGAGAAAATTATATATAAGAGTATTTTTATTTTGATATTTATCAAGCCAAATCGTCAATTATCACTGTTGGTGATATTTCCATGGCATTGGTTTTCTATAGACAAAAACTTGAATAATTATTACATACACAATACGTAATTCCCTCAACAATAGTGTTACGCGATCAGTATAGTTATTTTTTGTGTTTCAATCAATTTCTGCCCTACATTTTACAAATAGGGTGAGAAAAATGTAGAATCATTTTATATTCTTTTGTTTAGTGTGTGATACATTTAAGGTAGATAGATAGATAGATTTATCGATGGTAGATTAATTTTGTACTATGTCTAATTTTAATATAATTTTATAATTGATTAAGATAAATCTATTTATCCCAGCAACATTACGAAATGAATGGCATTTAAATTACTGTACACGATGGGTAAAGCAAACTAATTGCTATTAACTATGCAACCGTAATAAATGTCATGTTGTTATTTTCAAAATTTGCGAAAATATTAAACATTAAATTAGATCGTATCAATAAAAATTCAATTATTGAAATGCGCTTCAGTTAAAATAATCTATAAAATAAGAGAAGTTATTAGAAAGGTTTTTAAATCTACTTTAGTTGTTTAGCTTTTTGGCAGAAAGCCTGCTTATAAATTCGTGAAGCTAAATATTTTTAAGTATGTAGTATTTAAGAATGTAATTATATTTCTTATTTTTTTACATTTGGTTAAAAAGGTTATTAAATATAAATGGGACATAATCAAACCTCTTTGGTTTTGGATTAAATTCATTGCAATTTTTTAATTTATCTTATGAAAAGTATTTAAACAAATTATCTTAAGCGAATACTCTTGATATTTTTATTTCAAGCGTTAATTAAACTTGAATGGAGAGTCGCGTTAGTTTCTAGTATGGAGCATTTCATAGCCACATTCGAAGGTTAAAAACTGATGTAATATTATCTACTATTTATGAAAGAAAATAACATTTGATGTTCTTAAAAAATAAACACTAGATACTATCTTTATTTCTTTGCGTTAAACTAGAAGGAACTAATACAAAATTTTACCGTTCAAAATTTGAAGTATTTGAAACATTTGTCATTGAGGAGTGGATTTAAAAATATTTTTTTTTTATACTACTAACGAATCTTATGAAAACGATAATTAAATTGAAACAATTAATTTATTAAATATACATACACTAGATAATATAGTTAAATTTATTTATTAAATTAAATACAAACTTTATTTAAAACAAAAGTAAGGTATTATGTACATTTTCTTTGTTGTATGTTCTTAAAAGTACATATGCACCAGTTAATGTTTGTTTAACAAATTTATTACAAATATATTCCTTACTCACGAAACTTAAAAAATCTGTATAATACAAATATTGTTTAATAGTTCTATTTATGTAACACTTTTGATGACACAATATTTCTCAATAGTTCTATGAAATAAAATTTTATTTTTGTGTCTAAATGTATTAAATAAAAATTCATTAAAAAATAAAAAAAGTTGATTCCAATACATAATTTGACGATTAAACATTCTCAACCTTATCAAAAACTTAAAAGAAAAATGAGTTTAGTTTTATTAATATGTAGACTAAATTACAAAATATATTTGAAAATCGAGAAAATCAAATATACTTCAAGTGAAGAATTTAAATTCATTTGTTTATGAGAAAAAAATGAATTCAATTTATATGGCGACCTTGTCATAATGTTTTGATCATTTCAGTTGTTTGAATGTAATAGTGACCGTGAATACAATTTGGTTATGTTTTTTTATGTCTATCATAAAAATTTGTAGCCTTTAAATGTTCAGTAACAGTAGAGAAAAAAGTCCAAATATTATCGCCCACGTAATCTTTGGTCTGAATACATAAATAATGGCTGTTACGTTGCTATGGTCAGATGATTTAAAAATTAATATTAAAATATAAAGGTGCGTTTACATATATGCTGTATGAATTTTAAATACCTCTCCAAAATTCAATATCGTAAGAGTTCTAACATTAATTATTATGAAATCTAACTTCATTATATGAATTGATTTAAGAGTAATTTTAAATATTAATCAATATATTTTTATAAGGTTTTAAAATTTTTGAACCCACCATGAAAACGGTTGTATAAATTATGATAAATTGTAAATCATTAAATTAATGAAACGTTTGTGACCTGAGTGTCGCTAGGATTAAAATATTTTACTATATAATGTCGTTTTTAAAATTAACAATATGAGATGTATTTTGTTTTATGACTTATTGACTTTAGTATTAAGTAAGGTCCTTTTAAAGTGATTTTCCCATATTTGAACGTCACTTAATAAAGCACATGAATGTTTAAAAAAGTTCCTGAAAATTCCCCAATCAAACAGTAATTTAATATAAAAATACTACTTCGTGGGACATAACAAACAAAAAGGGAAACAGATAAAATAGATTCAACAGAAGGATCAAAATAACAGAAAATTGCATGCTATATACTGTCACGGACTGTTTTAAAATATTAATAATTTAATTACATCAACCGTCCAAAAACATACATTAGAAAGTGAGCATATTAACTAATTGGACCCAATAGCGGAAATTAATTTCAATATGTATATAATCACTTAACGAATCAATGGTTTTCTTTTAATTCCTATGACATTAATAGATGAATTCCAACCTTGAGTTGACTTGAAGTTATTTAAAAGATAATAAATATTTACTTAGAACAATTCTGGTAATGGTAATTAGTACAATACACTACTTGTACTGAGTATGAAATATTGGTAATAGAATATTTTTAACTTCACTATTTGTTTTACGAATTAAAGTACAGAGTAAATTATTAATAACTTTCGAGACAATGAACCTTACATAATCTATATCATCAGGTTTTTAAAACTTGACAGTATACCAGAATCTTACTTACGAAATACGAACATAAAAAAAACTATTCTCATATAACAATATTTACCTTTATTGTCCTCCTTAACAAGTTAACGCAATCGTTAAATCTTTTTAATTTTGTATCAATAAAATGACGTCCACAGAATTTTTTAACCAAACAGTATATAAATTATTGACAAAAGGGCGCGATTGGAATATTCTGTCAATTTTGACAGACGTTTTTTTTTATATTTATTGGCAAAAGCGTGCGCTCAAGCGGCCGGCCGCGCGTATACTAGAATGACGTGCCTCTTACAACAGCTTTACTGTCAATACATAAAAGCCTTTAGACTTCCGATGATGTATGTGTTCCGGCTGGTGCAGTGAGTACACGGAAACTATAGCGGATCGAATTTTGTTGTTAAGATTTATGTGTCACTGTCAGGGAATTACGGTAATTTTTTATAAACGTTCTGCTTGGTATTTTCCAGATCCATGGCGATTAGAGAAATGGTCTGAAGGTAATAAGAGATTTAATGTTATCCATCCTTTTGACCGTTTGAATTTGATTAATATCATATTATTATTCAAATAAATAGCCATAAAAATTATCATTTTGTATTTAAATCAACATTTTACCTAAAACTTATTTCTTTACTTTATATGAAATCATCCCCGAACTTAATAAACATCTTTCTCGTTAACAGAAACTAAAGAATTTTTAATACATAATAATTAGTACATTGCTTTCAATAAGCCACATAAAGATCAGATTAATACGATAATAAATAAAAAACGATACACATTTTTCTGATAAATATAACTGAAAATATATTTAAATTAGAGATTATGATAACAGTAACAGTTATATGTATTTTTTATTGTTAGATCCGCAACGCTCAGGCGCTATAGCGGGAAATCCGAACGTAACAGGGAGGTATGTTCAATTGTTCTCTTTATAGAATTATATGCTCTTATTCTTATATTCTGATCCATATTCATAAATTTAAGTTTGCGACTCCGCCTTGGGTATTACCAATAATACATTGCAGGCGTTTGAATAAATTAAACTTCTTTGAGTTAATGTAACAGAAATTGTAGTAGTTTTCGAGGTAGAACTGATCGCTCAGGTTTCCAAATTACTCCATTTTTATTCCTTCATCATAATTAATTTTTGTTGTTTTTTACAACAATATCACACAAAAAAGTGTCTATTTAACCATAAAATGAATTAATATTTA